TTTTTGGGGGGGGGGGGAGGCTCTGTTCTGAACCAAAATTTCATCAAGGTTCTAACTTGAATGCCACTTGTCAAGTTGAGTAAAATAGTGAACAATAAAGAAAACTTAAGCATTGCCTGGAGAGCTCAACATATAGCACTAACATCAAGATAAAAGGTGCACAAACTACACTAATACTTACTGGCAAAAAATGCAAGCCATTTTGCATATTTCTTGAGCACATCTTCCCAATGTGATAACATCAGACACATCACATTAGCAGTTAGGCATAAAATACCAATGATAATCAACACAAATGTTGTCGTCCATTCTATTGAAAGTTTGGGGCTAACACAAATTTCATCACGGTTGTGGATGGTTAAGCACTGCAGTGTAAGTCCCAACCTCATGTTTCCTGTAAATATAAGAACATGATATCAAGTTTTATGTATTTGTGGGCTACAGCTTTAAATGCTTGAAAGAAACACTGCAAAACAAAAAGCAATCAAAAATAACATACATTAATTGTGTATGCAGCGCTGCGGGGTCTAGAAAAACCAGGAGTACAAACTTTAAATACCCATTTCCTGTTGTTTAGATCTTCAAGGACCTTTAACATAGACAGAAATACTTCAAACTTGAATAAAATACCAAAATAATTTTAAGTTTTGACAGCATAATATTATTGGTGAATATTGTTATCAAACTGGAGTACAGAGAAAGTACTAATGTCTGGGATGACTCTCCAATCATTTCAGTAGAATATCATTGAGTAAAATTCGAAGCAAAGATGTTGCCAGCCACAATACAGTCTTGTGTAAAGACTAAGATCCATCATCCTGTCTTAATAACATACATGGCATTAGGTTACTTTGTGACATATAACACCATTCTTACCTGCCGCCCCCGTTAGTATCCAGTCTGGTAGAGCTAAACTGGCAATCGCGAACAAGTCCGCTAATCCGAACAAAATTCCCGAAATCAGGACGATTTTGTTCATGGCAACAAAGTTCAATATGATCCAGCCAATGTATTCTATTTTCCAGGGGTCATTGAGTTCTTCAACAGCATGAAGATGGACCAATTTTGGACGGTGACGTCTTCATTCATTTGGTAAAAAGTTTCATCTTAAACATACACATTTTGCGCATGCGCGACCTAAATTTGACAGGTGCCTCGGATTTCTTTAAAACAAATATAATTACTATATAATATTATATTGTACAAGGTCATGATAATCTATGCACCATTAAAGAAATAAATTCAATTAAATAATTATTATTTTTAAACAATTGTGTGGCTTTTCGAGAAATTTAGATACAGACTTTACAATTACACATTACCAGTTAGGAAGAAATAAAAGAAAAAACTCTTCACACTGAAGGAGAACCATATGAAAAAATGAAAGAACTACTAAGATAATGAGAAAAAAATATTTTGAAATGTCTAAGACAGTAAATTTGTCGTTCGATGAAAGGGAGAATTCCTTCGCTATTTATAGTAACGTCATGTGACTTCTACGTCATTTTTGTTATGGCGGCTGCAAGAGATGCATCGGAAAGGCAGTGGTCGCCCTTTCGGCAGGAAAAAACAAGAAAATAAACCGAAAGTTGCAGAACGAACTTCATATTCCTGCCACACAAGGAATATTCGAGTGGTAGCGTATCCGGTAGTATTGCTGTTTCATCTGATCAGAGCGCTTGCTTTCCAACTTTGGTTGCTCTTGGTGTTTGCTTGCAATACGACCTCTCGTTTGCTTCCAAGAAAATACAACCATTTAAATCGACAAGACTCTGCTACCTCGGATATCCAAGAAGTGGTCACCATGTCAAATGGAACGCCATCAAATCCCGGGACAGGTCCAGCGGAACCGGTGTTGTCAAGACAGAAACAGCATCACAGAAAGGCATTTGAATATATTTCCAAAGCCTTAAAAATTGACGAGGAAGAGACCACATATCAGTTTGAAGGGACAGTCATGGCACAAAAAAGAGCTTTTAGAGGTATGTGTTATTACTTTAATGATTCCACATTTAATCTGTGCTATGTCAAATCCACCAAATGTTCTGCTGTTTAGAGAACAAAAGATGAGTTGAAGGGGGTTGCATTTGAATAAATCTGCATCTTTTTAAATAAACCAGCAGGAGATAAGATTTATTTCCCAGAAAAGTTCAAGGGGAGGGCTAGTGATCCAGCAGGAGATATGAAGTACAAGCTTTCAGTTGTTATACAGATGACACAACTTGTGTACTCCACTGAGAAAAGAGTTGGGAGATGCTTTGTTTCTCAATTTATTGATTTTAATAATTAGAATTATATTTTTCAGTTTTTAACATTTCTAAGTAAAATAGTTATTTTCCGTTTTTGGTGACTTTACCTTTTACACTTTTAATGTAAAAGCCATCCTTAATAGAAATGTAGAGAATTTTGCCATCTTTAATTGTAGCACAAGGTAAATATATGCAGTTTGTTCAATTACAATGGATCTGATGAAGCAAATGGCTAATTGATGTTAATGAGATACGAAATACAATTTCCATGTGAAACCATTGACCGTATGTTTGAGCATACAAAAGATATCCTGAAGCATACATAAGTATTGATTTCTCTCACAGTCACTTGTTTAGTTTAACGTGAGGGCAGTGTCACGAGAAACTGTTAGAATACTTACAATAGGATATGGTATACAGCAAGCTTATAACATCTAAGAACCTGGATTTTTTTCTGCTAATTTCATATTAGTTTCAAATTTCAAAATTAACAAAGATATTAAAGAAAAAATCCAGTCTGTCTGTACTTATGAAGTGACTGTGTGTGGTGTTTGTGTTGATAATTGGATTAACAGCAGAAAATTGCCCTGCTGCATATGCTGCCATATAATTTGCTGGCCAAAAAAAAAAAACTTTTACTTTCTCTTTTGTGGGATTCTACTTCTGACAGGATTTTATTATGTTGTGTCAGTGATGTCACCATAAATGATGGTGAGGGTTGCAATGCAAAATAGGCATACAATAATAATAACAAATATACTAATAGCAATTATAGAATTTTACACAAAAAAAAAAAAAAATGATAAAATGATAAAATAAAAATAAATACTAAATAAACATATAAGTTATGTTATAAATAGTGATATATACTTAAGCTTGAGTTATCAGGATTAGAGCATTTACCTACTAACTGCACTTTGCTAATGCATGTGTTGGTTCTGGTATGTACATTGTGAGGCCCACTCATCAAATAAGGGATGTTCTTTCTGTTAAGATCAATCTTGGACCACCTTCAAAACCTGATCAAGTACTTACTTACTTAGGCCCATCACCCCTGTTAGTGGGAAAAATATGTGATATGCCCAATTTTAGTTAAGGCCTTTTTATCTTGTAAATGAATTTTCAGTAAGGACAATGTGTTTTTACACATTTTTTTAACTTCTGGAGAGTAATTTGCATACCAGCTATGTGTATGTGTTGCATTTCTCTAAATGATCAAAACAAATATGCACTCACACTCACACACATGTACACGTACACTGATGCACATAGCTCTATACTTGTAAACAGTTGATATGAAAGCAGTGTGGAAATGATGATTCATAACCTGTGTCGTCTAAGTCACTATGACGTATATGCTCCAAAGCTTGCATTTGCAGTAAAATATTGATGTATGACAAGGTTTCTTGGTTTGAGTTCCTTACATAGACCTGTATATAAAGTTTGATGGTTAGGCATTGTTTTCATGACGTGCCTAATTTCATGATTAATGACTTTTTTGATTCATAAAAAATAAATGAATAATTAATGTTAATGTTTTTAAAAAAGGACAACTTAACATGTCTTTCTAAACCCTATTACCATTGGTGTTAAAGCACAAGTTAATGCCCTTAGGAAGTAGGCCTAATCTGCCATTAAAAAAACAGAGTTGAAGTAGGAAGCATTGTTTTCAGTTGTAGTTTATAGTTTGACAACAAGTGAATAAGTTTTAATGTCTTTGGCTTTGAAAAATTTGCTTACTATAGGTGACCAATCAGAAACATAAAATCTTTTCTGCAACACCTTTTTTGATAAGATCTAAAAATAAAATAAAAAAAGCAATTTCATTAAAAAAATTGTATACAGGTACAAAATGTACAATTTGTGAAAGTTTGCATTTAAATGATGAAGCAAAAAAGTCTTGATTTCATCTCTCTCATGATTATCTCAGGTGGCTGTTTGAGCCAACTACGTATATCTGTATAGTTATGACTAGCCCTACTGGGTAGCAGTATTTCCATATCTGAGCCAGTAAATATATATTGATTTCCACTTACAACCAGTTCTTGTGATAAGGATAAAAGCTGGCATTTGATGAGTTTAGTTTCCTACTAGATTCAGTTATTTATGTGCCATTTGTGATTTACCTCCCGTGTGTTCACTAAGTGAAAGTAAAAGATGTCTAGGCTTATACTGAATATGGAAGTTTTCTACCAAATGCTTCAGTTTTTTTTCCTAATTTAAAGGCAAAAGATGTGTGATTTAAAAAAAAAATTGCCAATTAGTTTTTGTTTTGACCCAAACAGTTTGCCAGAATTAGCTCCGGATATGTTTAACAATGATGTGATATGTTTAAGGATATATTACAAGTGGAAGCACAGCTGCGTACATTCCCTGTATTGCACACTAATTACTACTACCATCTTATTGCAACTCTCAAATAAAATCCACATAAAAAATAACAGAATGTAATAAATAACATAAATTAAAATAATTAATTACTCTGTCAGCCACATTTTACTCTTGAAAACTGCAGTGTCTTCAAATGCTGGTCATGAACTTGAAAAGATTCATTATATGCCATCAATGCAGGGGCCTAACATTTAAACTGTGGAGTCAAGTTGTAATTCATTTAATGGTACATGTGGAGCCACAGTGGAGGCGGGGAGACCATCAGGGAATTGAGTGGCCATATTTAGTCCGTGGATCAGTTAGTCTGCGGTCGATCTGTTCCGAATATGTGGTGTAATCTCACTGAAATAAAATTTTTGAAATTTGTTATATAATGTTATATATGTTATGTTCTGTAATGTGAATTGGATACTAGTAAGTGAATAACTAGCATTATGCATGTTCTCCATACAAAATTAAATTTGAAGGAGGAGGGAGGTTAACCAAAAAAATGTTATGGTGCAATCTAGCTTTTAGACAGTTAGTTAAACCATCTTAAAGATATCCTTTTTATTTCTCTAGAACTAGAATTTGTAATATTTAAATTATCATTTTACATTAAATTATTATTCTGATTCTAGCTAGAAAGGAGCAAGCAGTGGACCTGTACAGGAAAGGTATTACAGAACTGGAGAAAGGAATAGCTGTACAGTTGAAAGGTCAAGGTAAGATGATGTGTACTGACATGAAAGTGCTGCATTCAATGTATTGCTTTGATTATCAATTTTTATGTCATTTACACAATCAGTCTTTCCTTTTTTTACAGAAAGACTTAAATCTTTAGTTGTCTTAAGTCAGATAGCCAACTACCAGAACCTGCTAAGATTTGACTGACAACCATATTGATGAATTTCTCCACAAATGATATAATTATACAAGCAAATTGGCTCCAATTTGTTAAGATTAATTACTTTGTGAATAATCGTGACAAATACATTGTAGAAAAGAAGATGCATGTATTTATATCGCAAGAGGGTAACAGCATATTTTTTTACATTCATACCTAGAGAAAGAACTCGCATTCACAAAAAAACCTTAAAATTGAATAAAGCATACACCATCACTGTCACATTACATCTCAAGGTATGTATTCTTGCACATATACTCATGTGAAACTGAATGTGAGGACCATTGCTGGTGTGAAGCATCAACATGGATCTTAGTAAGCACACTATAATTGAAAAGATCCCTGTAATCCCAGCAATCTTCTGATTTCCACATCAGTTTATAAACACCCAAATGGTCCTGATGGTTCAAACATAGTTGCCAATAACATGTCTCGTGCCACCATAAATCTCTTCCCAAGAGCATGGTAATACTTTTATTAAACAATCGATCAATATCAATTCAATCATCTCTGCACCATAGGCACAGGGAATAAGGCTCTAGTTAGGGGATTTCATTGATGAAATAATGAACATGACCGTGGGGCCATTCGGCATAGAATATTTGAGTATTAACTGGTCCAAGGCTCAAATATGGCGGACCCTACATGAAAAGAAGACCGCTTAATCCTGTAATGGTTTCTCTGCCTCTCACATGCCTCCACACACAGCTAGTAGAATGGAGCTGAGATTTAATTACTGTGCCCGTGCAGGGACGGCGCATGGGGAGGCATGTCAGAGGCGGTGAGACTAAGACCATTACAGTATTAAGCAATCTTCCTTTCATGTAGGGTCCACCATATTTGGGACTTGGACCAGTTGATACTTGGAACTCCTATTCTGAATGGCCTCTATGAGCACAAGTTGATCTGCGAACTAACAGATCTGTGGACTAAATATGGCCAACCTCACTTAAAAGCAAGCCGCCTAATTCCCTGATGTTCTTCCCATCTCCACATGGGCCATTAAATGGATTTTATCTCCATCTCCCATCCGAGTTTTAATTGCTAGGTCACTGCTGGGACAGTGCTTGTGGAGGCTGGTAAACCATCAGGGGATTAGTTGGTATTGCTTTAAAGTGGGGTAGGCCATATTTTGTCCGCAGGTCTGCTGTTAGTCCGCGGATCATCTTGTTCTGAATGTGCTCCATGAGAAACAATGAACTGTACTCCACCTGTCTACTTAATACACCCAACAGGGCAATGAATTTATGTAAATTGAGTAAATTGATGACTAATAGCATACATATTTATGAAAGGATATCTCACATTCATCTTTGTTTGATTGAGACAAAGGATAATAATCTTCAGAGGTTTCTGAACTCTGCACTTCTAGCTGTTTAATATTTATAGCTTTGATTTCACCTCTGTTGTCAATCTAACTCTTTGTGTTCTATTAATATTTTGAATCAATACCCAATGAATTGGAAATAGTGAAGCATTGCATTTTATCAGGTGAATTGTAATACATTTACAGCAGTTTGTAAACATGGTTCCTTATGTAATTTAGTGGATATTCCTTAAGCATCAAAGAAATGTCCTGTTTAGAGCAATATAGGAAACGTGGCATTGTCAACTTTAAATTAATTTCATGATTTTACCAAATACGTCCCAAAAATTTAATTCTAATGCAGTTCTTGAAAATGTATTTTAGAAAATGTTTTAATATTCAATTTGTGTTTTTATTACAATTACCCTTCTTAGTATTATAAATGCAATGTCCAACTTTTGGTTGCAAACAAATATTATTATTATCATAACTTCAAGAAAATGAAAAAAAGATGATTAAAAAGAAGAAAAACAATACAAAAACATTCTTAGTTTTTGTAGATCTATACAATTTATCTAAAATACAGGTATTGATATTGCAGGGGAGGCATGGGACAGGGCCAGAAATCTCCAGAGCAAGATGTTGACCAACCTGGTGATGGCGCAGGACAGACTGGATGTTTTGGGTACCAATTTTACTGTTTTACATGTTGTATCATCAATGTTGTACATGTTTTCTATGTATCGTCAATGTTGTGCATGTGCATTACGTTGTATCATCAATGTTGTACGTTTTCTATAAAGTGTAGACAAGTGATTTGGATATATTGGAACTTTTGCTGAAATTGTGTAAAACCATGTGCAAAGATGAATCCAAATTTATTCCCAAAAGAAATGCATCCATAGAATTTTGACTCTATATAGAATGTTTGTATTTATAAAAAGACTAGGGCAGTGTAGATCAGCTTGGAAGAGTCAACATAGAAAAGTTAAGTGCTCACAACTGATATTCTATGAGAGATACACCCATGGTGATATGTGATCAATGAGAAAGACAATTTAGAAACACACTCTAATAGTGAATCAGTGGTTACAGGAAGATGGTTTTAGGAAAAGAAAGACAATCTAGAAATGCACACTGAAGGCAGATCAATGATTTCTAATGGGAAAATACCTGTGGCTAGACAAAGAACAAAGCTGTTGAAGGCACCATCAATTAAGAACCTATTTCCCCTGTTACCGAGGAAGCAGGCAGTACAATAGTTCACTTCATTTGTTTAGCATTAGAGTTACTATCATACCCTAACATGTCTTGCTATCTAAACACAGTAGGAGCAGCTTTATTTTGCTGAAGGTCATGTGTCTTAGATGAGCAGCAGACGTCTTTTGTGTGATGTTTTTCTGGATATACTGGGGTATATTTTCCTGGGATTAGATAATGAAGATTAGATTTTTTTCTATGAAATGATTGAAGTGTATGCAAGCCTCTCAAGACTAGAAAGTCAGTACTTATGAAGGATGAACAGTTGAGTGGAGGGGGTAGGGGGTGGGACAAAAAAAATTGTATTTAGTTATTGATTACACTGGGGTAAACTGCATGCAAACAATATCATTTGCTTGAAATTATAGTAGTATTTGTGCTGTTCATTGTCAACCCTTGCTTTCTTATTGTTAATCTCAATGTAAACATGGTGGTTTCTGAGGAAATCTTATAAAAATAATGATAAAGATGAAAATAATGATGATATCAGATTTTATTGAATTAAAAAAGAACAAATTATCTTAAGCCTTGCTAACTTAAAATTACATAGTTTAAGACTTATTTATGATACTTCTTAGAATCCACCATTCTATTCTTTGTTTATTGTTTGCATTTGGGTTGAGTTGTACTTTTTTCCGCTTGTAGAAAAGGCCTTGAGGACAGATGACTATATGCCATCCCCAGGGGCAGGACCCCCAGGGGAGAGGGGTGCGGGTGTTTTAAATACCCCCACTCCAGGAGCCTCAGGTGGTAAACCCGTACCCACCACTGCCAGTCCCTGCTCAGGTCAGATGCTGCCCCCTATAATAAAACTATCAGCGGAAGGAGAAGAAACAGAAAAGCATGGTAGTTTATTTTGGAAGTGGAGTCCTGTTTGTACCTTCACTACTCAATGTGTTTGATACCACTACTGAATTAGAAGGCTCTTCCAGCACACATTCCTTAAATACTGCATTTTGCCATTTGTCCTTGCACTTTTTTTTTTTTTTCGATTCCAAGCCTTCCATATTTTTCAGCAACATACCCGTTTTTGACCAAGCAAAACCAAAAATTACATTTTGTTTCTACTTCAATAAGCAAAAAAAAAGAGCCATAGAAAGTTGCATTATTGTAATAGTATCAGGTGTCTATCTGCTAAGAGGCAATTTGTTGTAACACGATGTTTTCCTGTTTCTTCTTCTCTGTGGTGCCATCTGATGATCTCCTTTCTTCTATGACAAATTGACAATAAAGTGATTGTGTGATTTTACCTCCTCTAGTTGTTGTAACATAAATGTTCTTGTACTAACTTCCAATGGAATGTCTTTCTTCATAAATTGCATCTGCATGAATATGTTATCCCACAATATCTGTCATGATCAGTGATGTGTGTTGTAATTTAATGTGTTAGTTGATTGATTGTGGGATTGTAGTCTCTTGAAAAGTTGCACAGAGAAGCACTTTCATTATAACCTATTGTAAAAACCATGTGAAATTACAAATCAGATAATTTGTACTCGGTTTCTTATAATGTTATGGCATTCTCTTTGTTTTCTTTTTTGCAGTTGCTGAAAAGAAAACTGCTCCATCCAGAAGAATCCCTACAAAAGGCCACGCTAAAAGCAATTCTTTGCCCCGAGTGGGTCAGCGCAATGTCAGTCCCTCCACTTCCCCGAGACCAGGTGCAGGCACCAGGAACAGAAGAAAGGGGAGTCTGGTAGGGATACCTCTCTTCTTCTTGATTCTGGCTCTTCTGTATCTTTATATTTAGAGAAGGACAAAATTTCATGTTTTGAATTTTAATTACAAAATTTTGGGTTTACACCATCAAAATATAGTCCTTGTAAATGTCACAGTAAAACATTCACTGAAAATATTTAATTACTCAATGTTAAGACATGTCACAAGGCATTTTGGGAAAGTTTAAATATTGAGGATGATTATTTTCTAGAATATCCAGCAAAGAAGATCTCAGCAGAATAAGAATGTAAATTTTAATTCTGAAAACTTCAAAAATGTGGACAAGCGTCTAGCACAAAGTTTATTAGATGAAATAGTTGACCAGGGACCAGCTGTTTCATTTTCTGACATAGGTATGTGGTATATATATATATATATATATATATATATATATATATATATATATATATATAATTGATAAACATCAAATGTGCATTTAGTGCACAGGTTTGCTTATTTATGTGCAGTGAGTGATCTTGGTATTTTAAGGAAAAGATTATAAGTTTGAAAACTTCCTTCCCCAGGGTTTATTTGACTGTTTTCCTTAGTTTTCTATGTCCCAGAAGTTAACATTGATGATTGTTTAGCTTGCATGTTGAGCCTGGTGTTATTGCATATCAACATGGCTCCAGCAGATGAAAACTTCCCTCACACCAGGATAATTACACCAGAAGAACATTTTCAAGTTCACAATGTCTGTGACAGATAAGCACACATATATTGCTAACCTGCTGACTTTTCCTTTTCCAGCTGGGCAGTCAGTTTCCAAGCAAGCCCTGCAAGAAATAGTGATTTTGCCTTCTCTTCGACCAGAGGTATATCCCCATTTTTCATGTCAAAGTAAAATTAGTTAATAGACTTTAAAGTTAAAATTTCTGTAAGCAAGGGGCAATGCATAGTTGGATGGTTGGTTGGTTGTTTAAATATGTGAAAAAAAAATATCCTGCAGAGAAATTTTCAGCTCTAAATTTTTGCACTGTAAAGACTTAAACACATAAAGACTTTATAAACACTGGGATTACTGAAAAAGAAACATTTTCATAAAATTATGGTAAAAAAGAATATACTTCAGGCATGTACAAGTGCACCATTTCTTGTTAATTTTGTTCAATTGTTTGTTTTACATTTGAACAAAATTTTTTATTCTTTGTAAAGCATTTAATCCAACTGATTATTTTATGTGTGTATTCATTCATCTATTTTTCTCTCTTTGGAATTTTTTGCAATGACTCTGCCCACCATGTATAATTTTCATGTTTAACAGGAACAATACAATAATACAAGATGTGAGTCAATAAATTCCTTTTCTGTTGAATCCTTAGCTGTTCACAGGCCTGCGAGCGCCAGCCAGAGGGTTGTTATTGTTTGGTCCTCCTGGTAATGGAAAAACAATGCTGGTGAGTAGCAAGATTTGGGGGGAGGTTATGGAAAGTATTTTTTCTGTACAGATCTGTTAGAAAACTGCAATGCAACCAAATCACAAAAATAAAGACATAAGTATTGGTTAATTTTTATAGGGTGGTATATATGATTATGTGTTTTCTTACAATTGTTTTTACCCTTCCAAGGATAAAGTTTCTTTTAGACAAATAACTGGATGAAATTAACCGATTTAATTTTTTAAATATAAATCAAGTTTTTTTTTACTAATGAAAATGTACTAAAATGAAGTTTTTCATTATTGATAAAAAGTACAGTGTAGATGGAAATACAAATGCCTTAGGGAATAGTGTAAGATACAACATTTCTGGTGAATTAGTTTGCATGTGTTATAATTTTCATTATTTAATGATTAAATATATTTCTTCTTTTAGGCAAAGGCTGTAGCTAACGAATCCCATTCCACATTTTTTAGCATAAGCTCTTCAAGCCTTACATCAAAATATGTGAGTATTTGTTTTGTAAAAGCAAAAAAAAAAAAAAAAAAAAAAATACAGTTTTGTGGATCTGAGGATCAGTTTTTGACATAAATATGTGTTTGTATCTGACTTAAAAGTTGTGTAATTAGTTTCTCTTTATATCAAAAGCTGTATACAAAATAATTAATGAACAGTATTATTATTATTATTATTATTATTATTATTATTATTATTCCTAGTCACCTTGGAAATGATTATCTGTATACTCTAACTGATATGAGAAGCTTTACTGGTGTTTCACGCCAAGTGGTACTGGAAATGCTATCTAGATGAGATCCTTCTCTTTGTTGTTTTTCCACAAGTTGATTCTCCCTTTTCTCACCAGCATTCACTGCACTACACATAATGAGATGACTGGACAATGGTTTCCTGTTTTTTAGGTTGGAGAAAGTGAAAAACTTGTCCGGGCATTATTTGCACTTGCCAGGGAGCTGCAACCTTCCATAGTTTTCATAGGTAAAACATAAATGAAAGGATTATTTAAATTTTGTGCTGGAAAGTAAAAGAAAAAAGTGATTATTTTTAAAATGTGAAAAAAGCTTTTATTTTTTATTAGGATTTTTGTCTTTAAAGCAGTTGACTGATGGTTGATAAACAATAATTGATTTTTGATTGATGAGTAATTCAAAATCTTGGGCTCATAAAACACATATGATGGGTCCAAGTTAAAATTGACCACTGGAAAAGAATGAGTTAAGAATAAAAAGCTTATTGATCATCTTTAAGATAGTTCTAGTAGATAAAAATCAGACTTTGAGATCAGTTGTATTAAGATGAAAAAGGTGCAAGCCTAGGGTGATAAAAGGACAATATTGGGAGATTAAAAAGAACTTGTTGTTTACTTTGACAGGCTAAAATGGAACTTTTCTTCTAACTGTTGCAATATCTTTTATCTATAAATTATCAGCTTTTTTTTATTCTTTTTTTTGCTTGGGGTGCTGCAGATGAGATAGATTCCATGCTGTGTGAGAGGAAAGAGGGTGAACAAGATTACAGCAGGAGAATAAAGACTGAATTCCTTGTGCAGTTTGATGGGGTAATGAATAGTATTTTGACACTCTTTTATCTGAATCCATAGATGTGCTGGGATGATTATACTTACAACAGGGGCTGCTCCAGATATAATTTCTGACAGTCTTCCAAATTATCTTTGTTGATCCATCCCCCATTTTTTGACCGTCTTCCGACAGAGAACATTACATACCCATCAATGTAAACTTGAAATTCTGACCACCATCTTCTGGAAGTCCCTCAATCTGTCCCTGTACAACCTAATAGATAATTATCATTGGTTAAATCAAAATTTTGCATATATATGTATGTATGATGGATTTGGTGGCAAACAGTGATACCGTTTAAATTTTCATGGCTTCACTAGATAATGTTTAGTATACCTGAAAATTACTGAGTGAGTCCTAGCATGCAGTGTGGTTTTTATTTTGAAGTTGCAAGATGCATTAAACAAACATTGAACAACGATGGATCACGGTAGTGACTCTCATTTTCCTGACTGGTGGTAATTATTGGATGTTAATTAATAACTTCACTTTCTGTCAGAAATTGAGCTCTATATCAAATTTATCATCTTTCCCTCTCACCATTAATAATAGATTAAAGTCATATATGAGAATTGAGTTGGAGACTTACATTATTGTTTTCTATTCCTGTCAGGTAACAAGTAACAGTGAAGACAGAATTCTCATCATGGGTGCAACAAACCGACCTCAGGAGCTGGACGATGCTGTGCTGCGTAGATTTCCCAAGAGAATCTATGTCGGCATGCCAGATTTTGAAACAAGGCGGGGCATGCTGACCCATTTACTCAGCAAGCACAATAATCCCTTAACAATGGATGAAATAGATAGACTAGCAAGGTATGGTTCTGTATTACTGGGTAAAGTGTATGAAATCAAAGTAATATGGATCATATAGCTTGCTAATTTAATATTTTCTTAGTATGTTTTTCCCCTGTTTGTACTTTTTCCCTGTATGGATCCTGATGGCTGCCATCAATGAGACTAAACTGAAGAGATATTTTAAGGAAACTGTGTCTTGTTTCAGGAGCTGTGAAGGCTATTCTGGCAGTGATATGAATGCTCTAGCTAAAGATGCTGCCTTGGGACCAATTAGAGGTAAGAATTAGGGGCTGGTTCTGAAAACTGGAAGTTGATATTCTCTTTAAGACAAAAGCTTTTAGCCTGCTTCAATGTTGTGGTGCTTTAAAGACCAAAAATAATTTTAAGATATTTTGGACAATTGCCTATTTATAGAAAAAGGAATGAGAATGACTTAGCTTGTGCCGATGTACATAATAATTAAGATTTGAGTTTTAGTTTTTATAGCCTGAAGCATATATTCTCATAATTTTTCTATTAAATTTTGGTGTATGCAGATTTTGGCATTGGTCTTATTGCAACAAAGAATAAAGGTGTAAGTAAACACATATATTATAATTTAAATATTATTTTCAGAATTGAATCCAAATGATGTTAGGACCATGGATGCAAGCCAGGTAAAGTTTTTGTTAATGAAACTCAAATAGATCTGTTGAAACAAGTCCAAAAATTGAAATTGATTTTGTTGTCATTGACATTTTTTAGTTACAGACATGCTAAAAAGACTTGCTAATCACAACTTGTACAAATAAAACCTGATTATCTTATTTTATCAATTTCAGATTAGAAACATCCGCCTTTCAGACTTTGAACATTCATTGCGCAAAATACGCTGCAGTGTTCCTCAAAGAACTTTACAAGCATACGAATCTTGGAATCGGGAATATGGGGACATGTCAGCTTTATGAGTTTTGCATACACAAAAGACCTTACAAAAATATCACTTCCACATTGGAAAATATTACTTGGGGTTGAATAAGATCTCTCTTTTGGAACCATGTATTGGCACCCAAATCAAACTAAACTGATTTGAAATAAACATCTGAGTCTGACTTACCATATTTGTTGCAGAGTGTTGGGAGTACCCAAGTAATGGCAGGGTCTGTGTATTGTAAAAGATAAAAACCCAGCTTGACAGGTGCCCCTGGTGGGCCTGAGGAAGTGGTGCTGTAACTAATGTGGTCCTGCTTTATCAACTGTGTAGCTGGAGGTGCTGGGCAGGTTGTAGAAAATCTTTCCAGTCTGATGTTCAGTGATATGAGCTATGAATAGAGAATTATGGGTCATGAACATTATGATATTATGAACACAAGACTCTTTATTTTATTCATTTATTTTTGTTTTTGCCAATTACATTCCTTTTCACCAGATTAATGCCAAATTCATGAAGAAGTAATATAAGATTTTTTTTTTTTCATTTTCTGTAATGGTAGCTAATCAATAACAATTATTTGCTAGCATGAGACTAAATGGGTGTAGTTTGGGTTAAAACAAGTTTTGGGGGAATTGTAATGGTTCATATTTTGTGTGGACAGGAACTGAATATAATTTATACTCACCTCAAGCGTAATGGGAGGAAGGGTTTTAGGGAAGTTCTATAAGATAAACGTTATCAAAAAAATTTGTACTAAATAATAAGTCATCTATTTTCCTTGGAAAAAATCACAGTAAAAGGCATTCCACATCTTCAGTGCAAACTTACTTTGTGTAAGTGGGTTGTACGGTACGGTACAGGCTCTGGTTGATGGAAGCCTCTGGTATTACAGGGATTGCCATTTATTCCCATACACCTATGCATAAACTGAACATTGCAGCATTTTCAATCATATGGGTTCTCTTTAATGTTTAATATGAAAGCAATCATAAATGGCTTTTTAAGAAAGCTTTCAAGTCTTATGAACAATTACATTAGACCTGTGTGTCTAGGTTTTGTTTATATTTTCATTTGGTCAACTTTAGTTGTATGAAAATATTCCTTTGTGACTGGAGATAAAATATGAAACTTTTTTATCCAAATGTTGAAGTAAAAATAGTTTAGGGGGGGATATGAGATAAACTTTTTCAAGAGCTCCAATTTTAAGTGATTTCTTTTGTAAGATAATCCAAATTAATGTCTCCTCTTGCTTTACTTCCATGACAAAAACTTTGGATGAAATGAATTTATATATTTTGTAACAGTTTTTGCAAAGAATATTTTGAGTAAAAAAGACATTTATCTGCTTTGTATGACCTTTTTGTTGTTAAAGTCCATTTTCCTATTTATTTATATTCATTTATTTAATGTCATCAGTTGTTTGTCATTAATAAGGTAATTTAACAAAAAATTTGCATAACTGATGTCGTTAGAACAGTTTACATGCAGCGATATATGAAAATAAATATATGGAATGGAGTTGTTTTTATTCTTTTACAGTTTGTTACCAACAGAAAGTGTTTCAACATATAATGCACAATAGGCAAAATTATGCAATGATGAAGCATTTAAAGAAAGGACATGTTTATACTGAAGCAGTAACTCGATTTAATAATATAATAATTGNAGTTGTTGTAACATAAATGTTCTTGTACTAACTTCCAATGGAATGTCTTTCTTCATAAATTGCATCTGCATGAATATGTTATCCCACAATATCTGTCATGATCAATGATGTGTGTTGTAATTTAATGTGTTAGTTGATTGATTGTGGGATTGTAGTCTCTTGAAAAGTTGCACAGAGAAGCACTTTTATTATAACCTATTGTAAAAACCATGTGAAATTACAAATCAGATCATTTGTACTCGGTTTCTTATAATGTTATGGCATTCTCTTTGTTTTCTTTTTTGCAGTTGCTGAAAAGAAAACTGCTCCATCCAGAAGAATCCCTACAAAAGGCCACGCTAAAAGCAATTCTTTGCCCCGAGTGGGTCAGCGCAATGTCAGTCCCTCCACTTCCCCGAGACCAGGTGCAGGCACCAGGAACAGAAGAAAGGGGAGCCTGGTACGGATGTCTCTCTTCTTCTTCTTCTTGATTCTGGCTATTCTGTATCTTCATTTTTAGAGCAGGACATAATTTCATGTTTTGAATTTTGATTACAAAATTTTGGGTTTGCACCATCAAAATATAGTCGTTGTAAATGTCACAGTAAAACATTCACTGAAAATATTTAATTACTCACTGTTAAGACATATCACAAGGCATTTTGTGAAAGTTTAAATATTGATTATTTTCTAGAATATCCAGCAAAGAAGATCTCAGCAGAATAAGAATGTAAATTTTAATTCTGAAAACTTCAAAAATGTGGACAAGCGTCTAGCACAAAGTTTATTAGATGAAATAGTTGACCAGGGACCAGCTGTTTCATTTTCTGACATAGGTATGTGGAATAAACATATATATATATATTCATATATATCAAATTGATAAACATCAAATGTGCATTTAGTGCACAGGTTTGCTTATTTATGTGCAGTGAGTGATCTTGGTATATTTAGGAAAAAATTTTAAGTTTGAAAACTTCCATCCCCAGGGGATATTTGACTGTTTTCCTTAGTTTTCTACGTCCCACAAGTGAGTAATGGTGATTGTTTAGCTTGCATGTTGAGCCTGGTGTTATTGCATATCAACATGGCTCCAGCAGATGAAAACTTCCCTCACACCAGGATTTTTACACCAGAAGAACATTTTCAAGTTCATATTGTCTGTATTTTGACAGATAAGCACACATATTGCTAACCTGCTGGCTTTTCTTTTTCCAGCTGGGCAGTCAGTTTCCAAGCAAGCCCTGCAAGAAATAGTGATTTTGCCTTCTCTTCGACCAGAGGTATATCACCATTTTTCATATCAAAATAAAAATTGTTCATAGTTCTTAAAGTTAAAATTCCTTTAAGCAAGAGCCAATGCAAAGTTTAGTTTCAGAAAATTATGGTAACAAAAATATACCTCAGGCATGCACAAGTGCACTGTTTTGGAATGTTTTCCTATAAAACATTGAATCCAATCTATGTGTGTATTCATTCATTTATTTTTCTCTCTTTGGAACTTTTTGCAATGACTATGCCCACCAAGTATAATTTGCATCTTGAAGAAAACAATACAATAATACAAGATATGAACCAATAATTTCCTTTTCTGTTGAATCCTTAGCTGTTCACAGGCCTGCGAGCACCAGCCAGAGGGTTGTTATTGTTTGGTCCTCCTGGTAATGGAAAAACAATGCTGGTGAGTAGCAAGATTTGGGTCTGAGGTTATGGAAAAAAAATTTTCTGTACAGATCCGTTGTGAAAGTGCTATGCAACAGAATCATAAACATAAAGACTGAAGTATTGGTTAATTTTTATAGGGTGGTATATATGATTATGTGTTTTCCTACAAACATTTTTTTACCTTTCCAAGTATAAAGTTTCTTTTAGACAAATAACTGGATGATATTAACCAATTGAATTTTTTAAATATAAATCAAGGTTTTTTTTACTAACGAGAATGTAGTAAAATGAAGTTTTTCATTATTGATAAAAAGTATATTGTAGATGGAAATTTCAATACAAATGCCTTAGGGAATAGTGTAAGATACAACATATTAGGTGAATAAGTTTGCATGTGATTTCATAATTTAATGATTAAATATATTTCTTCTTTTAGGCAAAGGCTGTAGCTAATGAATCCCATTCCACATTTTTTAGCATAAGTTCTTCAAGCCTTACATCAAAATATGTGAGTATTTGTTTTGTAAAAGCAAAAAAAAAAATAATAATACAGTTTTGTGGATCTGAGGATCAGTTTTGACATAAATATTTGTGTGTATTTGGCTTAAAAAATTGTGTAATAAGTTTCTCTTTATATCAAAAGCTGTATACAAAATAATTAATGAACAGTATTATTATTATTATTCCTAGTCACCTTGGAAATGATTATCTGTATACTTGAACTGATATGAGAAGCTTTACTGGTGTTTCACACCATGTGGTACTGGAATTGCTATCTAGATAAGATCCTTCTCTTTGTTGTTTTTCCACAAGTTGATTTTCCCTTTTCTCACCAGCATTCATTGCACTACACATCTATTGTGAATGAGATGACAATGGTTTCCTGTTTTGTAGGTTGGAGAAAGTGAAAAACTTGTGCGGGCATTATTTGCACTTGCCAGGGAGCTGCAGCCTTCCATAGTGTTCATAGGTAAAACATAAATGAAAGGATTATTTAAATTTTGTGCTGGAAAGTAAAAGAAAAAAGTGATTATTTTTAAAATGTGAAAATAACTTTTTTTTTTTTTTTAGGATTTTTGTCTTTAAATCAGTTGACTGGTGGTTGTTGAACAGTAATTGATTTTAGATTGTTGAGTAATTCAAAATCTTAGGCTCATAAAACACATATGCTGGGTCCAAGTTAAAATTGAGCACCTCAGAAGATTGAGTTATGAATAGAAATCTTACTGATTTCTTTAAAATAGTTGTAGTAGTTAAAAATCATACTCTGAGATTATTTTTATTAAGATAAGAAAAATAGATGAAGTTGACTCCATATTGGGTGCAAGGCAAGGGTGAGGAAAGGACGATATTTGGAGATGAAAAAGAATTTGTTGTTTACTTTGATAAGCAAAAAATTGAACTTCTAATTGTTGCAGTATCTTTTATCTAAATTATCACCCATTATTATTATTATTATTTTTATTTATTTATTTATTTATTTTGCTTTGGATGCTGCAGATGAGATAGACTCCATGCTGTGTGAGAGGAAAGAGGGTGAACAAGATTACAGCAGGAGAATAAAGACTGAATTCCTTGTGCAGTTTGATGGGGTAATGAATAGTATTTTGACACTCTTTTATCTGAATCCATAGATGTGCTGGGATGATTATACTTACAACCAAATAGATTTTCATTGGCTTAATCATAATTTTGCATCATATACATGATAGATTTGTTGGCAAACAGTGATACAAGTTACATTTTCATGGCCTCAATGGATAATGTTTAGCTGAAACTTACTGAGTGAGTCCTAGCATGCACTGTGGTTTTTATTTTGTAGTTGCAAGATGCATTAAATAAACATTGAACAACAATGGATCATGGTAGTGACTTTCATTCTCCTGACTGGTAGTTTATGGATGTTAACTAATAACTTCTTTTTTACTTCTTCACTTTCTATCAGAAATTAAGCCCTATTTCATTTTGATTCCTTATTCCCTCTCACCATTAATAATAGATTAAAGTCATATATGAGAAATGAGTTGGAGACTTATATTATTGTTTTCTATTCCTATCAGGTAACAAGTAACAGTGAAGACAGAATTCTCATCATGGGTGCAACAAACCGACCTCAGGAGCTGGACGATGCTGTGCTGCGTAGATTTCCCAAGAGGATCTATGTCGGCATGCCAGATTTTGAAACAAGGCGGGGCATGCTGACCCATTTACTCAGCAAGCACAATAATCCCTTAACAATGGATGAAATAGATAGACTAGCAAGGTATGGTTCTGTATTACTGGGTAAGCATATGTAATTAAAGTTATATGAATCAAATAGGTTGCCAATTTAATATTTTCTTAGTATGTTTTTCCCCTGTTTGCCCCTTTTCCCTGTATGGATCCTGATGGTTGCCATCAATGAGACTAAACTGAGTAGATATTTGAAGGAAACTGTGTCATATTTCAGGAGCTGTGAGGGTTATTCTGGCAGTGATATGAATGCACTAGCTAAAGATGCTGCCTTGGGACCAATTAGAGGTAAGAATTAGGGGCTGGTTCTGAAAAATGGAAGTTAGTTGTCTCTTTAAGACAAAAGCTTTTAGCCTGCTTCAATGTTGTGGTGCTTTAAAGACCAAAAATAATTTTAAAATATTTTGCACAATTGCCTATTTATAGAAAAAGGAATGAGAATGACTTAGCTTGTGCCAATGTACATAATAATTAAGATTTATGAGTTTTAGTTTTTATAGCCTGAAGCATAAATTCTCATAATTTTTCTTGTAATTTTGGCGTATGCAGATTTTGGCATTGGTCTTATTGCAACAAAGAATAAAGGTGTAAGTAGACACATATATTATAATTTAAATATTACTTTCAGAATTGAATCCAAATGATGTTAGGACAATGGATGCAAGCCAGGTAAAGTTTCTGTTAATGAAACTCAAATAGATCTTTTTAAACAAGTCCAAAAATTGAAATTGATTCTGTTGTCATTGACATTTTTTAGTTACAGACATGCTAAAAAGACTTGCTAATCACAACTTGTAGAAACAAAACCTGATTATCTTATTTCATAATTTCAGATTCGGAACATTCGCCTGTCAGATTTTGAACATTCATTGCGCAAAATCCGCTGCAGTGTTCCTCAAAGAACTTTACAAGCGTACGAATCTTGGAATCGGGAATATGGGGACATGTCAGCTTTATGAGTTTTGCATACGCAAAAGACCTTACAGAAATATCACTTCCACATTGGAAAATTTTACTTGGGGTTGAATAAGATCTCTCTTTTGGAGCCATGTATTGGTGCCCAAATCAAACTGAACTGATTTGAAATAAACATCTGAGTCTGGCTTACCATATTTGTTGCAGAGTGTTGGGAGTACCCAAGTAATGGCAGGGTCTGTGTATTGTAAAAGATAAAAACCCAGCTTGACAGGTGCCCCTGGTGGGCCTGAGGAAGTGGTGCTGTAACTAATGTGGTCCTGCTTTATCAACTGTGTAGCTGGAGGTGCTGGGCAGGTTGTAGAAAATCTTTCCAGTCTGATGTTCAGTGATATGAGCTATGAATAGAGAATTATGGGTCATGAACATTATGATATTATGAACACAAGAACCTTTATTTTATTTATTTATTTTTGTTTTTGCCAATTACATTCCTTTTCACCAGATTAATGCCAAATTCATGAAGAAGTAATATAAGATTTTTTTTTTCATTTTCTGTAATGGTAGCTAATCGATAACAATTATTTGCTAGCATGAGACTAAATGGGTGTAGTTTGGGCTAAAACAAGTTTTGTGGGAATTGTAATGGTTCATATTTTGTGTGGACAGGAACTGAATATAATTTATACTCACCTCAAGCGTAATGTGAGGAAGGGTTTTAGGGAAGTTCTATAAGATAAACCTTATCAAAAAAATTTGTACTAAATAATAAGTCATCTATTTTCCTTGGAAAAAATCACAGCGAAAGGCATTCCACATCTTCAGTGTAATCTTACTTTGTGTAAGTGGGTTGTACTGTACGGTACAGGCTGTGGTTGATGGAAGCATCTGGTATTACAGGGATTGCCATTTATTCCCATACACCTATGCATTAACTGAACATTGCAGCATTTTCAATCATATGGGTTCTCTTTAATGTTTAATATTAAAGCAATCATAAATGGCTTTTTAAGAAAGCTTTCAAGTCTTATGAACAATTACATTAGACCTGTGTGTCTAAGTTTTGTTTATATTTTCATTTGGTCATCTTTAGTTGTATGAAAATATTCCTTTGTGACTGAAGATAAAATATGAAACTTTTTTATCCAAATATTGAAGTAAAAATAGTTTAGGGGGATATGAGATAAGCTTTCTGTCAAGAGCTCCAATTTTAAATGATTTCTTTTGTAAGATAATCCAAATTAATGTCTCCTCTTGCTTTACTTCGATGACAAAAACTTTGGATGAAATGAATTTATATATTTTGTAACAGTTTTTGCAAAGAATATTTTGAGTAAAAAAGACATTTATCTGCTTTGTATGACCTTTTTGTTGTTAAAGTCCATTTTCCTATTTATTTATATTCATTTATTTAATGTCATCAGTTGTTTGTCATTAAGAAGGTAATTTAACAAAAAATTTGCATAACTGATATCGTTAGAACAGTTTACATGCAGCGATATATGAAAATAAATATATGGAACGGAGTTATTTTTATTCTTTTACAGTTAATTACCAACAAAGTTTTTCAACATATATTGCTCAGTAAGCAAAATTATGCAATGATGAAGCATTTAAAGAAAGGACATGTTTATACTGAGGCAGTAATTTGATTTAATAATATAATAATCATAAATTGTGTACACAGACACTAAGGAACCAGGATTTTATGGGATGGGGGGGGGGGGGCACAAAACAAAGATTCTTTCATGCAACACAAAGCAGTAGGTGAGGATGCTTTCACTGCACTATTCAATGCACAGGAATGGAAAATTGCTTGGTTTTTGTCTCAATTCTTTCATTAAAGTTTTTTTTTTTTTTCAGGGGGAGGGCACTAATTAAATCTCAGCTCAATTCAACTGGTCGAGGGATGACACGTGGGGAGCCGTGTGATAGGCAGAGAGACCATTACAGGATTAAGTGGTCTTCCTTTCATGTAGGTCTGCCATATTTAGGTTGTGGCCTAGCTCGCACTCGGCTCTTCTCATTCTGAATGGGGCTGTACTTTCATCCTGGATGCACCCTTAGCATACATTCTTGTTTGACCAACTTTGTAGGTAAAAATTGGATGTCCACATTAAAATGTTCACAGCATGTGCAGAAGCCACAAAAGGGTTTCAAGACAAACGCTCACAGATCTCTGGTAATGCTCAATTTTTCTTCTGAATTGTTTAATGTGCAAAACTGTTACATGTCATGTTATATTACTTTTCAATGTCCTAAGATGCAGCATTTTATATGTAATTACACATTTATGGTGATGTGTATTACAGTAATGGAACTATAGTATACAGTATACATTTTTTAATCATTCATCATTGTGCATATCAGTTGTAGATGTGTGAGGTTTCTATTTATGACTCATAAAAATTAAAATCATTCATACTTCCCATTAAACACACTTCCCATTAAAAGGAAATGTAATTTAATATGCCAAGAAATAAAATCGGTTGTGCTACAACTTTAATAGTTATCAATTGCAATGCCATTACATTTGTGAGTAAAACCTCATTTTGGAGTATTCCACAGATATAAAACAGATCCTGATGCATTTTAAGCTGCTGAAGACAACAAATAACATGACCATACAATTATTTTCTCTTAAACACTCATGAAATATCCTAGTTATTTCTCAACACATTACATCACAATATCATACAACAATGAAATCTCCACTTGGCTGAACAGCGTCACTCCTTGATATAAGGCTTCTAAAGCATTAATCTAGGTTAAAAATAAAATAAAGCTGAAGAAAAAAACTTTAAACCACCATTAAGAACTGCACTGGGAAAAATGCCACTTTTGACGTAATTCGTCATGCAATCTGGTGTCTCTGAAAACCCGTTTTTGTCTTCTTTTTGAAGTTTCTTTTCATGAAACTTAATTTGTAACAATAAGAGAGTGACTGCTCTTCCATCACTTTCCCTTTGTTTGCCTGATAATACAGGAACTCACTCATGTGGCATGGGATAGAGTGGAACAAAAGGAATCCTTGGACTTCAAGGCGGCGGAGTTCACTATACATTTTTCGTAATGATGCTGGATGTCTGCCGTACACTCTGTCGATCATATTGGCTTGGAATATCAACTGATGGGCAGACTGTAAATAGATATTTTTCAAAGCCTCGTGAATAAACTTGTTTTTCTAGAACTCCAATAAATACATCTTCAAATAATCTACAGATGTTCCCAATAAAACATTTGAATAAATAGCAGGTAAAAACCAATTTAAAAGGAACTGCACTTAGGATACTACATATTCAAAATAGTTACTTAGAATCAGAAAAAAAATACATGAAAAAATGGTAACTTTTTCATATTTTTTCATATCAAAATTAAAAATGAGGGGAATGTGGGTGTGAAACATGAAACATGACATAGACAATGTACCTTTAATATTCCATTATTCAAAAAGTTTGACAAAATCTCCCATTCCATGGTTGTGTAGTGAATATCTATAACATCTACTGTCCTTAAACGCTTGACAAACAATTTCAGGTCATCCATGGTCAACTCATTAAGTTTTCTGTGACCAGATCTGAAGTATAACAAATATCATCTTCATCAATTTACTCTGCTGACAAAAATACTTTGCTTAATAAAGAATATCTTTAAAATATTCATTTTTTTGGTACATCTTCATTGAACTGTGTTTCACATTGCCAGTTATTAGCCCATGAGAGCAAAAATAGCATTAATCAATATTTTTCCAATGTCAAATTTCTTCCAGAATTGTGTAAGTTTTTTTTTTTTTTAAACTGTCTCTCTGTTCCTTAAATATATCATGAAAACATTTTTGCTTACTCTTGTTTGAATATAAGGTTTCCATACTGAAAGACTGGAATGAACTGGTAGACATCACAGTCAGCCTCACGGAAAACTTGTCTAACTGGGAGTTCCCTGTTTTTGCTTTAAAGGCAAAAAGCAATGAGAATGTATTGGAAATATATATGTATACTTCATTCATAAAATCCATTTAAGTGCATGTCACTATAAATCTGATAGAGGTATACATGAATATTTGACTTTTGTAAATGAGCTCATTAAGCAATTCAATGAAGTCTGTTAGTACCAATGAGATATCACACCTTCATTTGTTATTGCCCCCTGAATATGAGCTCTCACCTTCTATGCTTTAGAAAAGAAAAACACATTAAATGATAAATTATTGTTTGTTCTTAGTCATGCTTTGTGAGCTGACCCACCTAAATATGAGCACCTGTCTCCTGTGCTGCTCCAGGGAGCATACTCCAGTGACAGAGGTGCTGTGAGGGAGGACAGTGGATACCAGATTGGGGGCCTCCAGGAAAGCATGGCATTCCTCCTGCAAGGTGTTGATATGGTCTAATACTCGAGCTTCTTCTAGTTCAAGTGCACCTGGAATGATAACAAGAAAAAAGTTGGAATTTCATAGACTAGTTAATATCTTGTTATAAGTGTCTTTAATGACTTTTTGTGAAAGGCAATAATGTCAGGGGCAGATTTAGGCGGTCTTCTGGGTCTTCCAGAAGACGGTCAGATTTTCAAGTTTACATTGACGGATATTAAAGTTTTTCTGTCGGAAGACGGTCAAAAATGAGGATAAATCGACAAAGATATTTTGGAAGACTGTCAGAAAATACCTCTGGATCCGCCCCTGAATGTAGTTTTGTTATCAAGACTGACATGCCTTACAAGTGAAAAACTGGACTGGATTATTTCAGACTTACAAGTGTTGTGTATTCAAAGTGTGAGGGCATACATTTTTTATTAACATGTGTAAGTGAATCACTATGAGTAAAGAAGACCCTGTGTACACAGGTGTGTTCTCTCACCTGCATCAGCAGGCGGGTGCATCACAAACATCTGCTCCCCAGGGTTCTGTATCCATGACAACCAGTAAACACAGGACTCCATGACGGTGACTTGTAAACAAAGAGGACTGGAGGCAGAGGTGTGGTAGAGACGGAACCCTTGGTGATAGAACAGATTGTACAGGGACCTGTACCAGTTGAATAAATAGTCATCATCCAGCTTATCTGAAATAAAGGGTATAAGAAAAAAAGAGTAGATTAACATGGAGGAGGGTGCAGATTACATGCAAATTATCATTTTTCACCTTTTGCTTCTTTTCATATGATGCATATATTATAGAAGCCACTCTTCAAGTTTCATGGGCCAAAATTTAAATGTTTCAAAAGTGTACAAATGTGTGCAACTTATTACACTAGGCTATCATTGCATATAAGAAAATATTGACAGAGATTCTTAAGGTTGTTGTGACCAGGGAGGGGGGCATATGTTATTTGTGCATCTTGGGTCCACCAAAGAATCATGAGAAAAGAGTGCCTCACCTATTGTCATTACTATGTGCAACTGCTTAACTGACATCAGCAACCTATCCTCATTCATGAAATGAAGAATTTCCCACAATTGTACTTCTCTGGAAGGTCTGTCCATTTTCAGAATATCTATATGTTTAAGTCCTCCTTTCTTCAGTATGTCATTGAATGTATTCTGTCCATAAAGGTTTCTTGTAAAATCATGATTGTCATTTGCAACCAAAAAGGTTTTTAGAATATGTGTGTTATTCATCTCTCTAAAAACTATATCTGCATCTGCAAAGTTTGTGATTACATTGACTTGGAAGCTATAGTTCAAAGCAAGAGCACTCTCAAATGCTATGTCATATGGAGTCCTGGAAATATAATGAAATTTGTGCTTAATATTAATCATGAAATAATATATAAATTAATGTCATTATATATATATATATAATGCTTATACCAGATAACAAAAAAAAACTGATAATAGCATATATATAGCTATATGTACAACATGAAAGTCTCTAAAAGATGTACTTGCATGAAAGATCACAGTGTTTTTTTCAATCAAAGATCATACCATTTTTTGAAATCTACAAGTTCATCAGCACACTACTACTAGTAGGTGACAGCAGAAAGTACACACTTTTACACAGATTGTTAAAAAATAGTGTCTCAATTTGTTAAAAAATAGTGTCTCAAGATTGATGTAATACAATATTCTCCTTACCATACAGAGTAAGCTATTCCACTCTGTTCAAAGTCAATCCCCGTATTATTTTCAGTGCAAATCAAGTAGTCTGTCCTGTTACTCAGGGCAACTGTACTGTTACATAGATAATGGTATGTGGTGATGAATTTGAGTAATCGCTGAGCTTCCTTTTCAGCTGTAGCAAGAGGCCTTAATGGCCTCCATTTACTACCATAGTAATGTATAGTAACATAACAGTAAATTCCAATAACAAAGACAACAAGTAATGCGATGTTCCTCTTGATGCCCCTGCGGCATGGTTTCATTGGCCGAATCATCATGCACTTAGCAGTGTCGATGGCCAATTCTCTATTTTCAATTTTTCATTCAACATGTGGTGGTCTTGCGACCCTGTGTCCTGGTAAAGCATGGCTACTAGTACAGTAATTCACTTCTTACGGCCATCATCTTCATCTTCAAAATTGGGGATGATATCATTTGAGGTCTATAGAGTGTATACCTTCGATCACCTGTGAATATAAAAAGATAAACTGTTAAATGTTCTCAATAAATAAATAACACACTGCAAGTTGTAAATTACTTAATTTGAACCCTTTTCCTCAATTTGCCTCTCTTTGTAACCCTGTCAATGAGTGTATCTTAAAGTAAGTGCTGTTGCTGAATGCAAGACTCTGAAAGTGCCATATAAGCCAGGTGATACCACAAACAAGTGAATGAACACATCTCTGTGCATTTCATATTGGGGCAAGAATACATGACTTTGTGATGTGACGTGTGTAATGATCACAGCTCAATGTAGGGTAAAATATGGAAATGATATTTGAGTTTGCAAGATGCCCATAGCTCAAGTGCACTGCTGCATGGCTTTTCTGCAGAAACTCCAGCAAAACAGCAGATGTATACTTACATGTAAATACAGTGGTAAAACAAGAATCATTTAAATAAATACAAAAAATATGTAAGACGTACGTACCATGTGTTATGCAAAATTATGTCTGCCAAAATACATGTATAGGTACAACTGGTGACTTACAAAAATGAAAAGTAGCAATATAAATTTTGAGTTATTTCAGCAAATTAAGCTTAAAAAATAAATATTCAAATATGAATGAATTTATAAATAACTGCAATGGGCAGTTGCTCTAACCCAGGCAGCCATTAACTTATTAACATCCGTGGATATACACTCACAACAACAAATGAGTTATATGCAAGTGCAGTGGCCTGGGAGTATTTATAAACTGATGCACAAAGATAGTAAAGTAACTCCGCCCAATGTAAATAAGGTAGCAAGTATGATCTTCAATTTCAAGTCAACAAAAAATCATAAGCAATTACTTTGCTAGGGAACAATTCAAGGTCAAGCTTAAGATTCGACATAAATGATTTACATATCAAATCTTAAACGGAGGGTATGGCATTTTTACTCTGAACTTTTACCATGACTGCAGTCCCTGATTTCATTCATGATTCAAATATGCGACAATGCTTGGATGATGGATTTCTGGTTTTTAAATTTCCAAGTTGTCACTTGTAGTCTTGAGGCCCCATATAATCATTTTACATGATCCGATAAAAGAACCCTTATCGATTTATTAAAGTAGGAACAACAACTTACCCCTTTCCTTAAAAAATTAGCCTAATTTTTTTGGTTTTGGAGGTAGGAAAAAAGGTTTCATTCTTCACCATGTGAAGTACAGAAATAACATACCTAAAATTCGTCTGAAAAAAAACCCCTACCGGCAACTCTCATTGAAACTCATTGAACGACCCAAAACAAATGTCATGATTTCTAAGTGTCAGTATTAATGAATTGAAAAACACTCTGAAGGCAACAAGGAACATTCTCCAGGTAAACCAGGAATGCATTAGTTTTGCACGGGCTGTAGGTTCAAAATTTCGTTTGGATAAAAAAAATGGATTATCCAAATATTAGAATTTTGTTGCTTCTTTTCAGAATGAATGTAGTAAGAAAATCATCCTTTCTACTGGACCAAAATGTGCAATATCTGATAAAATCTAGCAGATGTGGAGTTGCCTGTTTACAAAGTCACCCATACAGGAAGATCATATTTTGCAATAGGGAAATAATGGTATTTACACACACTTGTACGCACGCACGCACAGCGACACATACACACATCATTTAAATGTACATCGGGAAAACTTCAAATGAAATCTGTAAGAATAATAAGGATTGTTCCTAATCTTTCAGAAAATAAAGATAAAAGATATTAATAATTATGGTAGATAAATGATTGGATTAGAAATAATATACTGTACACTGTATATTCCATGTGTTTATTATCAAAGTAATTATAAATTTGTGATGATTAAATTAGAGATGAAATCTTATTAATGGCTAGAGGTAGAAATGTTTTTTGTTTGGTTTTTTTTTTTTTTTTTTGTTTTTCTCTTCTTTTTCATACAAGTTGTGGCCAAGATATCTCAACAAAGGGCAATTTGATGGTTCCAGCCTGAGAAGACCAGCTCAACTTTGTCATCATCCATTCACCAGGGTACAGAGGTATAGCCAGAGATCTGGTCCAGACCAGGACCAGCAGTCCCAGCATGGTGAACATGGACATTACTCCAGGATTATGGAGAGACTTGTCACCATTGAGAATGACACCAGGCTATATGGTTACTCTACTCTTAGAATAGGAGGCGCTGTTGTGATTTTAACTGGTGAGTTTCATTTGTGTTAAGATTTAAATCTCTCATCCTTATTTTGTAATACAATTTGGTTTGATTTCTATGATCAGAAGGTCTGTCTACAAGTTCAATTTTGAATGTTACCAAAATTTTGCATCATATCAGTTGTAGAACGTACTTTGAATCAATGTGATAATTTCGATAATGACAGCATGTACATGATTCTGACTTCTGGAGTGTTAACAGTGTTTATAACGTTTGAATTTAAGGAAGGGTCTCTCCCTACTGAAAATTTACAGAATACCATGATAGCTTTTATCTTTCTTTGAATTTATTTAAAAATAAATTCAAAGAAAGATATACAGTTGACTGACTTAAAAACTCTGTTTTGGTTATTAACATCTTAATTTGTAATTTTCAGGCATAGCAGTATATTTGTTTAGAGAACAGATAAGGGAAAATGTAGCAGACGAAGTGTCGCAAGTAACAACCAGGTCATTAAGTGACGAAAATGTACAAAACAAAGCCCAGGACTTAGCTTTGGCTCTCTTGAATGAAATATTGACTGATAAAAACATTCAAGATCTTAGTGGTGTGTATAGGATTCAGTTTTTTCTTTGACAATGTACATGTATATGAGATCGATGCTGTGCATGCATGCATTTCCAAGTCATTGCTAGTTATGTTTAAAAATGTGTGTGTGTTTGTGCGTGTGTGCATGTGTGTGTGTGTGTGTGTGTGTTTGTGTGTGTGTGTGTGTGTGTGTGTGTGTGTGTGTATTTGACAATTATTTTTTATGTAATGTGAAATAACCTTGGAGAGGGATGATAGTACTGGGCCTTTTACTTATTTTTAAATATAAAAATATAAGTGTGCCAACATTAAACAAATAACATTTACTAAACCAAATAGCATAATTCTGCTACCCTTATGTGCTAACAACTTTAAGTTATCTGTTTGTGATAATCACTCTAAAAGGTAGTATATTTAGAGACTGTAAAGCATCAGTCTGTTAATGACAACATAGTCCAAAATTTACTGCCACTTTTACACCTGTTTATTTGTTTGTCATGTTTAAAAATCTCATCATTTAACTTTATCAGTACAATAAAGTGATACCAAATAGTCTAACAATTTTTTCATGTTACAGTTGTATTTCTTCAAAATGTCTTTGGCCAGCCAGGAACCCAAGAAACTGCTTCAAAACTTCTTGAGGACGTCTTGACAGATTCCACAGTGCAGGCAAATCTTACTGAAGTTTTCAAAACAATTCTGGTCAGTGCATTTGGAGACAGCAACTTCAGAGAGAACTTGGCCCAGAATTTGGATCCTCTGTTACGACATGAAAGTGTGATATATGGAGTTCAGCAGTTATTTATTGAACTTTTCAAAAGCAAGACAGTGCAGGAAGAAGCTGCAAAATTTTTAAGTGAGGTAATTACCAAAGACATTGTTGTGGAGCAGGCTACAAAGTTAGGTAAAGCAGCAACGAATAATATCGTCAAGGATACTGAGGTTCAGCAGGAAGTGGGCAATGCACTGTGGTCTTCAGCAGGGTATGCACTCACACCAAGCTTTCTTGGTTCAAAGACAAAAGCTACATAACTTGTAGAAAGACACAAATTACTGTGTGAAGCTGAGAGTCACTCTGAATATATTTTAATCGCTGATCAATGCGGATGATAGATATTATTACCATTTTCATCTACTGTACAAGTATCTGTGCTTTTGCAACAATAAAAGATATTGGATTTCATTGAGTAATTGCTGAGATAATATGTTAATTTATTATATCACAATACAATNTATATATATATATATATATATATATATATATATATATATATATATATATATATATATATATATATATATATATATATATATATTATGCTTATACCAGATAACAAAAAAAAACTGATAATAACATATATAGCTATATGTACAAGATGAAAGTCTCTAAAAGATGTTCTTGCATGAAAGATCACAGTGTCTTTTGCAATCAAAGATCTTAAGTCATACTGTTTTTATAGAAATCTACATGTTCATCAGCACATTACTACTGGTAGGTGACAGAAGCAGAAAGTACACACTTTTACATAGATTGTGAAAAAATAGGGTCTCAATGCAATTTGACAAAGATTGGTGTAGTACAATATTTATTTAGAACAATGTCCTCCTTACCATACAGAGTAAGCTATTCCACTCTGTTCAAAGTCAATCCCTGTGTTATTTTCAGTGCAAATCAAGTAGTCTGTCCTGTTACTCAGGGCAACTGTACTGTTACATAGATAATGGTATGTTGTGATGAATTTGAGTAATCGCTGAGCTTCCTTTTCAGCTGTAGCAAGAGGCCTTAATGGCCTCCATTTACTACCATAGTAATGTATAGTAACATAACAGTAAATTCCAATAACAAAGACAACAAATAATGCGATGTTCCTCTTGATGCCCCTGCGGCATGGTTTCATTGGCCGAATCATCATGCACTTAGCAGTGTCGATGGCCAATTCTCTATTTTCAATTTTTCATTCAACATGTGGTGGTCTTGCGACCCTGTGTCCTGGAAAAGCATGGCTACAGTAATTCACTCCCGAAGGCCATCATCATCATCATCATCATCTTCAATGGGGATGATATCATTTGAGGTCTGTATACCCTTGATGACCTGTGAATATAAAAAGATAAACTGTTAAATGTTATCAATAAATAAATAACTGCATTACTTAATTTGAACCCTATTCCTCAATTTGTCTCTCTTTATAACCCTATCAATGGGTGTATCTTAAAGTATGTGCTGTTGCTGAATGCAAGACTCTGAAAGTGCCATATAAGCCAGGTGATACCACAAACAAGTGAATGAACACATCTCTGTGCATATCATATTGGGGCAAGAATACTGTACATGACTTTGTGATGTGATGTGTGTAATGATCACAGCTCAATGTAGAGTAAAATATGGAAATGATATCAGAGTTTGCAAGATGCCCATAGCTCAAGTGCACTGCTACATGCCTCTACTGCAGAAACTCTAGCAAAACAGCAGATGTACACACATGTAAGTACAGTGGTAAAACAAGAATCATGTAAATAAACCCCAAGTTTCAAGCTTTACTCTTTAGGCCTCATATATGTAAGTCCATGTGTCATGCAAAAATATGTCTGCCAAAATACATGTATAAGTACAACTGGGGATTTACAAAAATGAAAATTAGCAAACTGAGTTATTTTAGCAAATTAAGTTAAAATAATAAATATTCAAATATGAATAAATTTATAAATAACTGTAATGAGCAGTTGCTTTAACCCAGGCAGCCATGACCTTATTAATACCTGTGCATATACACTCACAACAACATATGAGTTATATGCAAGTGCAGGGATACTTGGCCTGGGAGTATAAATTGATGCACAATGTCAAAGATAGTAAAGTAACACCACCCTATGTAAATATGAGAGCAAGTGTGATCTTCAACTTAAAGCCAACAAAATATCATAAGTCATCATTTTGCTAGGGTTAATTCAAGGTCAAGCTTAAGATTAGACATAAATGGATTTATGTATCAAATCTTAAACGGAGGGCATGGCATTTTTACTCTTAACGTAAAATAACTTGACTTCAGCCACTGGCGTCAATATTCATGATTCAATATACAGTACGTCAATGCTTGAATAATGAATTTCTGATCTATTAATTTCCAAGTTACTCCTAGTAGTCTTGAAGCCCCATATAATCATTTAGACTATCCCTTAAAACAATTATCAACGATTTACTACAGTAGGAACAACAACTTACCTCTTTCCATAAAAAATTAGCCCGATTTTTTTGGTTTTGGAGGTAGGAAAAAAGGTTCCATTCTTCATCATGTGAAGTACAGAAATAACATATCTAAAATTCGTCTGAAAAAAAAAACCTACCGGCAACTTTCATTGAGACTCATTGAACGACCCAAAACAAATGTCATGGTTTCTAAGTGTTAGTATTAATGAATTGAAAAACACTCTGAAGGCAACAAGGAACATTCTCCAGGTAACCCAGGAAGGCATTAGTCTCGCACGCATTGTAAAGGGCCTAGTTTTCGGGCTTACTGTACTGGGTACTTGCATGCACATGCACCCTTTACCTGCGGTATGATATCCTCTCTGAAAAGTTTTAGGTATGCTGCTCATGTTTATGTCTTTGAAAATGTCTTTAAGTCATATTTGTCTAAATCATGCAGAGCAGCTATCTTTCTCAATTCAGAACTTAAAAAAAAACCCCTCAAAATTGCCTGATGTTGCTATATTTCCTTGTAACAAGAACTTTAAAATTTTAAACTTTTAAATGTTAGGATGACACAACAGTAGAAACAGTTCAGAATCAGTGTGTAAATGATTGAATTGGAAATGGTATAAAACTGCAAATTTTTGCGGAGGTATGGGCGGAATAGCAAATTGTGAGTAGAAGAAAATTATTTTTATCTTGAAAAAAATTGGATGTGAAGCAAGATCCTACACAGTATACCTTTAAACAATGGGACTACAGCCACTGATTTTTGGGTTAACAAAAAAACAACAAATAATTCAAAGCATTTGACTTAATCTGTGTTACATATTTTTAAGTATTTAAAATGGATTTTAAAACCTTAAAATTTTGTTCAATTTTAGTGTAATATTTTAACCAGCTGTAGGTTCAAAATTTTGTTTAGATAAAAAAGATTGTATATAATGGATTATCCAAATATTAGAATTTTGTTGTTCTTTTCAGAATGAATGTAGTAAGAAAATCATCCTTTCTACTGAACCAAAATGTGCAATATCTGATAAAATTTAACAAATGTGGACTTGCTTGTTTACAAAGTCACCCAGACAGGAAGATCATATTTTGCAATAGGGAAATTATGGTATTTACACACACTTGTACGCATGCATGCACAGCGACACATACATACATACATCATTTAAAAGTACATCGGAAAAACTTCAAATAAAATCTGTAAGATTACATGTAATAAGGACTGTTCCTAATCTTTCAGAAAATAAAAATAAAAGACATTAATAATTATGGTAGATAAATGATTGGATTAGATATAATATATATTTCATGTGTTTATTATCAAAGTAAATTATAAATTTGTGATGATTAAATTAGAGAAGAAATCTTATTAATGGCTAGAGGGAGAAATGTTTTTTTTTTTCTCTTCTTTTTCATACAAGTTGTGGCCAAGATATCTCAACAAAGGGCAATTTGATGGTTCCAGCCTAAGAAGACCAGCTCAACTTTGTCATCATCCATTCACCAGGGTGCAGAGTTATAGCCAAAGATCTGGTCCAGACCAGGACCAACAGTCCCAGCATGGTGAACATGGACATTACTCCAGGATTATGGAGAGACTTGTCACCATTGAGAATGACACCAGGCTATATGGTTACTCTACTCTTAGAATAGGAGGCGCTGTTGTGATTTCAACTGGTGAGTTTCATTTGTGTTAAGATTTAAATCTCTCATCCTTATTTTGTAATACAATTTGGTTTGATTTCTATGATCAGAAGGTCTGTCTACAAGTTCAGTTTTGAATGTTACCAAAATTTTGCATCATATCAGTTGTAGAACGTACTTTGAATCAATGTGATAATTTCGATAATGACAGCATGTACATGATTCTGACTTCTGGAGTGTTGACAGTGTTTATAACATTTGAATTTAAGGAAGGGTCTCTCCCTACTGAAAATTTACAGAATACCATGATAGCTTTTATCTTTCTTTGAATTTATTTAAAAATAAATTCAAAGAAATATATACAGTTTACTGACTTAAAAACTCTGTTTTGGTTATTAACATCTTAATTTGTAATTTTCAGGCATAGCAGTATATTTGTTTAGAGAACAGATAAGGGAAAATGTAGCAGACGAAGTGTCTCAAGTAACAACCAGGTCATTAAGTGACGAAAATGTACAAAACAAAGCCCAGGACTTGGCTTTGGCTCTCTTGAATGAAATATTGACTGATAAAAACATTCAAGATCTTAGTGGTGTGTATAGGATTCAGTTTTTTCTTTGACAATGTACATGTATATGAGATTGATGCTGTGCATGAATGCATTTCCAAGTCATTGCTAGTTATGTTTAAAAGTGTGTGTGTGTGTGTGTGTGTGTGTGTGTGTGTGTGTGTGTGTTTGTATTTGACACTTATTTTTTATGTAATGTGAAATACCCTTGGAGAGGGATGATAGTACTGGGCCTTTTACTTATTTTTAAATATAGAAATATAAGTGTGCCAACATTAAACAAATAACATTTACTAAACCAAATAACATAATTCTGCTACCCTTATGTGCTAACAACTTTAAGTTATCTGTTTGTGATGCTCACTCTAATAGGTAGTATATTTAGAGACTGTAAATCATCAGTCTGTTAATGAAAACATAGTGCAAAATTTACTGCCACTTTTACACCTGTTTGTTTGTCATGTCTCATCATTTAACTTTATCAGTACAATAAAGTGATAAATTTCTTACCTCAAAAATGATACCAAATAGTCTAACAATTTTTTCATGTTACAGTTGTATTTCTTCAAAATGTCTTTGGCCAGCCAGGAACCCAAGAAACTGCTTCAAAACTTCTTGAGGACGTCTTGACAGATTCCACAGTGCAGGCAAATCTTACTGAGGTTTTCAAAACAATTCTGGTCAGTGCATTTGGAGACAGCAACTTCAGAAACAACTTGGCCCAGAATTTGGAGCCTCTGTTACGACATGAAAGTGTGATATATGGAGTTCAGCAGTTATTTATTGAACTTTTCAAAAGCAAGACAGTGCAGGAAGAAGCTGCAAAATTTTTAAGTGAGGTAATTACCAAAGACATTGTTGTGGAGCAGGCTACAAAGTTAGGTAAAGCAGCAACGAATAATATCGTCAAGGATACTGAGGTTCAGCAGGAAGTGGGCAATGCACTGTGGTCTTCAGCGGGGTACGCACTCACACCAAGCTTTCTTGGTTCAAAGACAAAAGTTACATAACTTGTAGAAAGACACAAATTACTGTGTGTAGCTGAGAGTCAGTCTGAATATATTTTAATCGCTGATCAATGCGGATGATAGATATTATTACCATTTTCATCTACTGTACAAGTATCTGTGCTTTTGCAGCAATAAAAGATATTGGATTTCATTGAGTAATTGCTGAGATAATATGTTAATTTATTATATCACAATACAATAATTATTGTAAATTTTGTATTGGAAGGCATTTGGTATAGCTTAAAACAAGGCTGTAGGCAATGTGTGGGTACCACCATATTAGACTAGAAATTGTATGATGTCTTTGCTAAGTTACTCCAGGGAGCATTCCCATAGACACATAGGCCTACTTGGGTAGGTCCAACTCTGCAGGGGCTCTTGCTATAAGCAATCTGCTTAACTGAATGACACACCTCGCCGAGCAGCTAGGGGGTAATTACGTAACTTTCATATGCCCTTGGCTTAATAAACCCCTAGCTGCTTGAGGAGGCATGTCAGACAATTAAATGAAAATTCCCGCAGAGTTGGGCTGAGACAGTTCAGGTGTGTATGGGATCTTATTCTGTTTTATCTAAAAGATCACATTTTTAATCATTAACGATAAAAAGCAAGAATAAAGGATTAAATAGGTAATTAAATACACCGTGTATGAAATTACAGTTACACATATTCTTTTCTTATTTCTCATAATTGATGTTTGCAGATACACAGGATGGCTGGCTGAGTATAGGTATGAAACTAGAAAAACTTTCAGATTACCTATAAATTTGTATTCATAATGGAGTTTTAGAGACCCACCCCAAATGTTAGTTTCCAAACTGTTTTATTCTTCAAGTACTTGGTAATGTCCTTACTTAGTACTGCTGCACTGAAAGCTTATCAGTTTTATTTTTCTTGGTCCAGTAAGAAATACTTAGAGACCGTCAAAAGTTTTAATCTATAATTAAAAGCATAATCTAAACTTCACAGCCACTTGTTTCACACCTGTTAGTTTGCCCTGTCAAAACATTATGAAAGCTGTCTAATTTATTGGCTAGATTATGCAATTAGCCCATAATTTGACCAATTATTGAAGCTTTTAGTGGATATTTGTTGACATAGCAGCTCTTGAAATTGCTCCAGAAATCAAACCTTTGGTATTTTGCAGGGTTCTACAACCAGTGGTTTATTCATTGGGAATTACAAAAATGATAAAATTGATAACAAATAGTCACCATGTAATTTTGAGTCATGGGTAGGCCAGGGCATAAAATTGGTGGGGATTGTCACCAGAAAGATGATTTAAAGATGAATATTGGTGATTATTTTAAAGCAGTTATTTTTACTCAAAGACAATAAAATTCCATCTTGATTTTGTAAAAAGATCATTCACTGCAATTTTTTCTTTACTTTTAATAGATCATTTAGCCTACTGCAATTTTTTCTTTTGTTGGCCAAGAAACAGGTTGTTTGGCCTAGTTGTTAGCGTGGGGTATAAATGGCGCTAGGCTTGGTTTGAATCGCCCAAAAACTTTCAAAGTTTGCAAGCTATCCGCCAAAATGAAAAAGAATTTTGCAGTCATTTTTGCAGTTGTTGCTGCTGTGCTGAAAGCAGAGCTGATAGATTATAAGGATTGTGGTGAGTAAATACTTGAATAGTCATATATATAATGATTATTAAAATCACAAGTTTTCTAAGGTGTTAAAAATCCTGTTTTAAAAAGCACTGAAAAATTGGAAAGTCACCTTTGAATTACCAATATATATTGGATACATGGCTAAAAAAAATGTTACTAATTTCAAAGTTCAAATATTTGACAGTTTTGAATTTGAAGATTTTGCAAGGAAATTTGGGATATTTTAAATATTTAAGTTTTTTTATTGAAATCATGTTTTATAAATGCTGAAAATTTCATGACTCTACCTATTTTAATATTGGCACACCAAAGAAATTAAAATCTGAAGTCAAAATATGCTTTGATGGCCTATGTGACTTCTGACAGGTCCAGGTGGCATTTTTCAACATGTGATTTTTGTTTGATAATATAAAAACTGTTTCACTTTAATACTTGAAATTTTCAGGGTTGACCAATAATAATGTGTCAAAAATCTGTTAAAAATTTCATTTCAAAAACTTGTGAACTGTTGAAGTTATTGTACTTTGAAATATGGAAGGTTTAAATTATTGACTTAATTATAATTATCATTATTTTTTGAGCCATATAAATGATTTATTTTTCATTTTTCCCCCAACAGGTTCTAAAGGAGCTGTGCTGCATTCAGTGTACTTGCACCCTTGTTCCAAATTGCCATGTACTCTGCAAAGAGGACAGAATTACTCTGTGAATGTTAATTTTACTGCAGGTAGTTATATTGGTGCTGATACGAATTTGAGTTTAAACAATTCAGGGTGGGTGGCTAAAACTGTCAAGACATTTTTCAGTAAAGGATATTCTTTAAATGTGGTAATTTTATACTACAACCTGTTTTAACTGCAAATATATGGTATATTTCTTTTTTTTTTTTTTTTTTTTTTTTTTTGCGAGAAAAAAATTGTTTCTGGAAATAAAAGAGAATCCTGCTTATTTCGTTATTATTCCTTTGACTGAAAAAGTTTTGAAGTAAACTGCATCTTTGCATGTTAAAAACCCTCAAATTTCAAACACTCCCTGTCTTTCAATGTCTTATTATAATGAGCTACCCACAAAATATACTTAACTAGTATGTGAATAATCAGAACTAAATTTTTTTCTCTCTTTTTTTTTCTTGCTATGCCAGCAATTTGTTGGTTTTAACAGTTTGATTAACCAGTTTTGGTAAAATACATTGAAGAATCCCTGTCTTAATTTGTCTCTTATATCTTATAGAGGCAAACATTGGAGAGCTTACTTCAGTGGCCCACGCCCTGTTTGAAGACATGTCTGTCCCCTGGCCACTGCCAGACTCCAACAGTTGCCACAGTATGAATGGACCTGGGTGCCCACTGGTTACTGGTCATGTGTATTCCACTTCCATATCCATCAATGTACCACAGGTCATTCCACAGGTAAGATATTTGGATTATGTTGGTTAGAAAAATTTTGTTGAAAGAAATTATACCAGTCAAAAAGTTTTCATTTATGATAGATCCAGATATTTGATTTACCTGTTGGCTGTTTTGTCTGTTCACTCTGACGGACTTGGTCACAACTGAATTACCTGTTCAGTTGAAGATGAACTTTTTGAAAATGAAATCAATTTTACTATTAAAACTGAGATCCAATGAAACTATATGTGAAATTACCTGTATATATAATTACTTTGTCGTACCCATCAATAGAAGTGATTCAACTAGTAAAAAGCTTATATTGATGCTTATTTCTAGTTTAATTTAATATACTTATATTTACTTTTCAAGTTTTGATCAATGAATGCTTAAGCTTGTTTGCAAGTGGGTTTATCAATTGCTATAAATAAATGTAAATTTGTTTTACATTTAATTGAACATCACAGTGATTTCTAATGTGATTTTGATTCTACGAAAATTGTTTCAGGTTCGCCTGGTCATCAAACTTGAAATGGTGACCACAGAAAATTTACATGAAGTCTTCTGTTTGGTATTCCCTGCAATCCTTCAAGATTAAATTAATGCAAATGAGTCTACTTCTCATATATGACAATTTGATTTTTGTTTGGAAAAAGATGGAAGAAAGTTTGGGTTAAAGACAGAAATATTGCACCAGCAATGCAAATATTTTTATGTTGACATTTTATTTTGTCATTTACAACTTTAACATTCATTTAGCAACAATCAATGCAATTCTGAAGATAGTGTACAACCAGTAAGCTTTGTGATAATTTTGTTTAATCCAGTAAGGTAAGCTTTTGTGTTACAAAAAGAAAAAAAAAGAAAAAAGGGCTATATTGAGCATATGTTGTAGTGTTAACATGTTGTAGTGTTAAGCATGAAAATTCTGTGGTTTGAGTTTGACTATCGTCTCTTACATGTATAATGCAACTCTTTACCACAACAAAGGCAACAATCAATGCAATTTTTTCAACTGTTATAACATTTTTGTGTTATGATTGCAAAAATAGAAATAAATTGATTGTTTTCTTGCAACATGAAAGTTAAATTTTCATTAATAAAAATTGTCTAATATTACCGACACATGCTTGCAGTGTAAAGTAATTTGTAGAATTTGCACATCAATTATGTATAGAAATCAGGCCTAACCAACTACCAGACTCGGCACCTAAGGATCCTGACTTAACCGGTATATCGGACCACAGTACCCGTTTTCAAGGTGTGTGTCAGATCGCATTTCGGAGTATCAGTCAGAACACCGACAGGATGAGCCCACGCTCGGCTGTCACCTTGATTGGATAGTAAACGATTGTCGTATTAAATCGCTATATGATTTAAAATCCGGGTGCATAAATTTGAAAGCCACCTAGATGAACCTTAGACTGGCATATTAATCTAATACAATGCAAAAAAGCCCTATCAAAAGTGGTTAAAGCATTCAAACCGAATGTCGTAAAGTCCCCATATACCCCCATAGAGATAATGAAATAGAGTACTCTAAAGTAAGAGTACAGTTTAAGGTTGTTCAGCCAAGCGTGGATGAGCCCGCAGTCGTCCTACAAAATTTGTTCTTGGGTATGATACTCCGAAATGCTATCTGACACACACCTTGAAAACGGGTAGTGTGGTCCGATATACCGGTTAATTCAGGATCCTTAGGTGCCGAGTCTGGTAGTTGGTTAGGCCTGGAAATGGGCAATCGAAAAAAGCACTATTGGGATCATGTACACCTAACGCACTGACTGTGATTGGCATCAGCTAATAAAGAATTATGGTAATAAATTGAAAATTTCATCACTTAAAAATTAATTTTAAAATATCTTTAAATGCCAGAATCTGACTTGTTCATATCAGGTGACAACCTTTCCATAATTATTGAGAGGCCCATTTTCAAGTTTGAGGAAATTTTCAAAGTGAAAAAACTACCTTGGTGGAGAATCGAATTTTGACAAAATCTTCAAGACCAACTAAATATTTGCTACTCATGTTTGAGATTTTCATATTGCATAATATCTACCAAGCTGATAAATTCAGTTGTTCAATTTTTCATCTGTAAGTGTCTTAGAATTCATTTCAAGGCACATACTTTGTCAGTTTATGAGCCATCATTTCAACAAAAATATTTGTTTTAATATGGATAAATATATGTTGTTCATTTAAATGAACCAGGATGTAAAATTTTTTGTGATTTCCACAAAAGCCACCTTGGAAATTTTAAAATAATTAGAAGCATGTGATAGTTAATGGTTCGAAACCATAAATGGGTTCAGAAAGGAACGGAATTAAACTAAACATTTCGCATAACATATTCATGTAGCAGCATGAATAAGTTCCAGTTATATATGTTTACATGTAACATTTGGTCAGGTATATATTACATATAGGCTGTATGATGCAGGTATTTTATTAATTTATCTGCTGATTCATAGGTGACTGACCATATGATTCCATTTAAAACTAGAGCTCATTGAAGCATTATTGATAACTGCAGCATGTTTTAAGTTTAAATTATGTTTAAACAGTATTTCTATTTTCAAGTTATGGTAAAAGGTTTTCGCAAGTTAACAAGAGTAGTGTCCATAAGAGGGATCAATACTTCAGGATTTTACCTTATCTGCTTGGATAATGCAGATACTGAGTATTGACAATACCATGATATAAGATAATGCTGTTGCATCAAAAAAAAATTTTTTTTTTTGCTAATTTCCTAACTCAAGTTGATAAGGTCAAGTTAATACATTTTGGGGGTGAAAACTGAAATATCTATTTCAAACAGATCTCCATATTTTATTTTCATTGCACTTATAGTAATATGAAGTGTTGTATCTCATGTTATAGAAATAGGGGAAGGGTGCTACAGTATTTTGCTGATGTACCAGTAACTATAACCCCCTTAATCAACATTACTGCTGACACAGACAGACACGGATGATAGTTTTAAACTGTACAGACACAAAACATTGTTTATCCATAAAAACTTAATAGTTTGATCAACAGGATTAAAAGACTCAATAGTTTGATCAATAGAATTGTTTATTGTTGACATAAAATGACAAATATATAAAGTCATGACAAAGCAACAAAAGTGCACTTATTAAAAATCAGCTGCTTGTTTTTGCTGGCCTTCCTTTAAAATCCAATTTTATAAAACCACAGAGAAATAAATGTTGAAAATAAATGTTTAGCCTGATCATGAGATGACAGCTGGAATAACAAAGCAGAACATGTCCTTGCCATTTTGGTCCTTCAGTTCCCACTTCACAACAACAGAGATCTGAAAAAAAAAAAAAAATAGGCAACAATGAACAGAATTTGATGGAAAAATAAAAGGGTGAAAGTAGTTCAGTAGACAGACGAATTTGCCTTCAAATAAATGCACACTCAAGATCAGAATAGATATACCACTATAACCCTTATCTGCATCACACTTTTAACGATATTATCAGCATTGTCTAAATAAAATTAAACAAGATATATCTTAATATGACATATCAGCCTTGTCTAAATAAAATAAAACAAGATATATCTTAATATGACATATCAGCCTTGTCTAAAAAAAATAAAACAAGATTTATCTAAATAACACAGAGACATGAAAGCATTACCTTTGGATATATTTTCAATACTGGGACATAAGTTGAATAGTTGTAGTCTTGTCCAGTCTTAGTGGGACATGCCACTCCAGATGGTGCACAACCATTACTTACAGGGACTTGAAAAGGAACTGGAACACCTGCTACTATACCATGGACACTTGCTGTTAGCTTGGTAGCAGCTTCATCTGAAATTTTATCAATATTAGCAAAATCAGTTGATAGTGACCAGGGGCGGATTTAGGCCGTCTTCTGGGTCTTCTAGAAGACGGTCAGATTTTCAAGTTTACATTGTCAGCCATCTAATGTTTTCTGTCGGAAGACGGTCAGAAATGGAAGATGGATCAACGAAGATAATTTGGAAGACAGTCAGAAAATATCTCTGGATCCGCCCCTGGTGACTACTGATCAACTGTTAAGTTACAACTGTTCATGACAGATTCAGGAGCCACCTGTCCCTCCCTTAACTACTGATCGAGATCCCCTAAACCCCCCTCCCCCCCAAAAAAAAAAAAAAAAATAATAATAATAATAATAATAATAAAAGGTATTTTTCCTTCTCTGTGTTGTTTTTATGTTTGTTATTAAATTATTTATAGAAGTAAAATAGTCTTAGATGTTTTTATTTGTTGTGAAAATTTTAACCCAACGTGCCCCTATCTCCCTTTACAAAATCCTCAATTTGCTAGTGCCATTGCCAAAATAATTAATTTGAAAACTTATTTATCATTTATTCATTTATTTGGTTCCACTGAATTAACAACAAAAACATGGGTGAAAAATTATCAATAGGATTACTGCATACTTGCTTTGAATGCAACTGTGACCGTTGCATTTGTTCCACGTACTAATGTACAAGGTTCCTTCTTACAAGGTTCAACATCAACAGTGCTTATTTTACCTACAGCTGAGCCTGAAAAAATAAAATGATATCAATTAAAGGAAATACAACAAAAAAAGCTTTAGACTTGAACAAACATATTACTATAATTATAACTGTCACAAACAACATTTACAGGATAAAAAATTGGTTTTGAAAATTGAAAAAAAATTGATTTGAGCATGTCTATATGATAAAATCTTTGGATAATTTATAAGTTTGGGAAAAATGACAATTACCACAATCCTTGAACTTCACATTCATTGCCAGAGAGGATGTGGCCAGGCAACAGACAAGGAAAACAAAAGGGCGACACATCGTGTCCTTGCAGCAGTGTCAAGTCTGATGTGTACTTAAAGTACCCGTGGCAAGTCACATATAATGGGAGGCGGATCTGCACAAGGTTCCAAAATATTCCTATTTTGTGACACAGCTTATCTCTTGCAATGCTTCTGCATTGGTCAATTATTGTCAGGCCATGAGTTGCTGAACTTTGGTTCTATTACTGCTATTGTCAGGTGCAGATAACACTGTTAGCCTACCACAATTATCATTGTTCTTATCATTCTGATGGAAGTAACCTTCATGACTCGTGATGAGTGCCCAGCATGCCAGCTAGGATTAACAACAGAGATCTATAGCAGGATTTAATGTTCCAATGCCTGGATGAATTAGATATAGTATTTGGTCCTATATAGGTGTATCATGTTCATACTCATCCTGCCTTTCTGGCCTCAGTTTTTCCAATGCTCCCACTGGAATAAAAAAAAACTTCTGCAGCTTGTACTCCCTAATTTTAGATCTCGTGACTTTTAAGCAGATGTACATATCAAGACCATCTGCAAAATTCACTCCCCAGGGTACAGATGGCATTGTTTAGAATATTGCAGACTTTTGAATGCATACATGTACATACCGTCAGCTATTAACATGGTACAAATTGAATTTTTTATCCAGGTTTTTATTTACATTTCATAATTTTATCTTCCTTGTTTTTATCACTTGTAAGCCCAGCAAGAGTGTCCTATGCAAGATTTTCATGCTAAATCTTGTGAAAAACCAATTCACTGATACTCACAAACCTAGTGCTGCACTTTTCCCTTCTTTTGATGCTTTGTATCATTTCTAATTAAATAGCTTAGTTCTAAATGCATTAAGACTTCTTGACAGTTCAGACTTCATTAGACTTCTTGACAGTTCAGAAGCAAATATTGACATTAGATACTTAGACTGGGTTTTCATACCTAGATCGATCCATCTCCACAAGGTTTCTCCCTAAACTGCTTTCAGCTTAAGCAGCTTAGATGTCTGGCACACCTACTAAAACTGTTAAACAATAGCTAACTAACCCTTATCAGCTCCAGTAGGTGTGACAGACATCTAAGCCGCTTAAGTTGATTGCAATTTAGCGAGAATCCCCTCGGAGATAGAGTGATCCAAAGTTAGTACAATAGGGTCTGGGAATGGTCCCTTATTTTTCAAGGGGTTTTATCACTTTATTGGGAAAGATACATAGCTTAACAGGATATTTAGGCAGAAAATGATGACTCCTGGATGTTTTTAAACATAGTATACATGGAAGCAAAGAAATAAACCAACAACTACAAATCGATTAATATGTGTTTATTACAACTTTGGTAAGCATTATTTTGTAAGAAAATCAAAAAGAAGTTTCTTCTACAATCATAAAAGAATGACTGCATATTTAATAATAGTAAATGCCTGAGAATAGCCACTTAATGCATACTCCATTTCTGTTGAAGTGTAAATCTAAGGACATTATTTTAACAAGTAGTCTCACTCAAGCTAATGGTATGATGACTTTGAAAATATTATTGGAATTGTTCATTTACATAAAGGAGAGATAAGGCAGTGTTCTAAATAAAAGATCATTTTCATCAAATATCAAATTGTGTGTGTGTGCGTCTGTGGTCAGCTCACTTCCAGTACATAATTTACTGTACAAAAAATAATCAATGCTCTCTTATTCTGAAAAAGGGTGACTAGATACCTTCTCCTCAAATTCACATCAGTTTGTTTTCAATTACAATAAATCTTCTGAATTTAAACATGATTTTCAATTATGACATCTTTTTATATTTTTTTCTTGGCAGTACTAATCCACAGCATTGAGCATACACCGGGTGTAAAATTACTCTTTATTCTGACAGCTCAGTTCTTTATGTAATTTTTACAAGTATCACAAGGCAAAATTCATCATCATGGTTGTCATCTTGAAGTTCCCATTTAACAGAGCATTCTATCTGAAATGGAAAAGATTTAATATAAACTTTATTCAGAGTTTTTATTCACTGGCAAGTAACAAGAAACAACAAATGTCAAAGTGACTACTGTGAACTTCCAAAGAGACATTTTGTAACATTTTTACAACAAATTCACATACTGAACTTCAGCACATAAAATGGGCACCTCTTGATGACAAAATTTATATAACAGAGGTCTCTGCTGTTTCTTAATAAATACTTTACAGTTATGCTTACTGAAGGATAGCTTGATGAAATGGCAAGCACAGCTTTATAGGTATATGTCTGGCCTGTACTGATAGGGCATGTGATGCCACTTTTGTCACAACCATCTGGATGATCAAAGGGAAAGGGAACAGGTACTCCAGCTATGATACCATGAACTACAGCATTTAATTTCTTTGAGTCCTTAACTGAAAAAAAAACAATACAATAAAAACCTATGTTTGCACACACATCCACACACACTGCACACACACACACACACACACACATCTGTTTTATATGCAAAAATCCAAGTAATATAATATTGTCATATACTTCAAGTGAGCAAAACAACAAAATCAGCATACGTCCTATTTGCTAATCTAGTTGACTCACTTATTAAATGTATTGAAAAAAAAATTACCAACTGCATTTCAAAAACCTCAAAATCATGCTTCCCTTATTCACCTACCAATTGCACTTACCTGAACTAAAAGTTACAGACATGGTTACGTTTGTGCCTCTTTTTAATTCACATGGTGCTGTTGAGTCATTTTTGAGGTCAGGACAGGAATCAACAGCCACTGTAATCAATTTTCCTAAAAGGAAAAAGGGGAATACTGGTAAAACCAACTATAAGGCTTAATCATCTAAACACATTTTTACAGATTTTGACAAAAAAAATTTGGAGGGGTGTAGCTGTGCTAGATGTTCTCTGAACCCAATGATGCAACACATTTTTTTTTTTTGTCATTAACTCTTAAATTCAAAGCAGGGTTTCAGTTGTACACTAAAAAGAACAAGGCAATATCAAAAGTCCTATGTCAGACAAGAAAGCAACATGCAAAGCTTTCAGTGACTTTCCACAACTCTCCTATTGTGCCAAATGTGTCCTATAAAAGCTGTACAGTGGAGTTTCCCATGGGAGAGTGTGACAATGTGACAAATTTCAAGTTTCTTTGAAATAAGGGAGTGAAAATCAATTGGAGCAACTTTTGATTCACTTTTGAAAGCGGTGTCTTTAAAAAATGACAGGCATGTTGTCACTAAAATGTAAATAACTTTTGATCTAAATGAGATCACCCTCTAGATCTACGGACCCACGCTCGGCTGTCACCTTGATTGGATAGTAAACGATTGTCGTAAAATCGCTAAATGATATTAAAACCGGGTGCATAAACTTGAAAACCACCTAGAACAACCTTGGACTACCACATTAATCCAATACAATGCAAAAATAAACTATAACAAGTGGTTAAAGCCTTCAAACCGAATGTTGTAAAGTCCCCATATACCTCCATAGAGACAATAAAATAGAGTAAGCTTGTGAAACAAGAATAAACCATTTTAAACATAATAATCGAAATAAAATACTGCCGGGCATCGGAGCGGCCTAAAACTTGGCACGCTTACCGCAAATACTGCAGGCTACATCATCCTGTCGCTCGTTTGTAAATTCCCTGCATGGCATACGCACAATCAAACCGTAAATCAAAATTCCACCTCTGATGTTTATACCGGTCCACTCTAACCTACCATTACGAAAAAGAAGCCATGCCATTGGACAATGCGACCTCTGCGGTTACGTCATTTCCTGAATTGGATTGTAAAGAGGACCGATGCCCGGCAGTATTTTATTTCGATTATTATGTTTAAGTTGGTGGATTCTTGTTTCACAAGCTTACGCTATTTTATTGTCTCTATGGAGGTATATGGGGACTTTACAACATTCGGTTTGAAGGCTTTAACCACTTGTTATAGTTTATTTTTGCATTGTATTGGATTAATGTGGCAGTCCAAGGTTGTCCTAGGTGGTTTCCAAGTTTATGCACCCAGTTTTAATATCATTTAGCGATTTTACGACAATCGTTTACTATCCAATCAAGGTGACAGCCGAGCGTGTATATACGGACCGTATAAAGTGTTTACACTCTCTTAATTTACTACCCCGTTAAGTTCTTTTTTTACATACCTCCGCCACATGATGTATATCTGGCATATGCACTCTGCAGAAAGATTCCCAATACAACACAATATATCAAAACGTAATTCATATTCCCATTCAAGTTTAAACCTTGTTGGCAGTAGCCGGGCAGTAAAGGTCTCTCTGAGAGGGCGATCACAAAGTATATCGTACGTTTCTCACGTGACGATGAAAAATCAGATTTGCCGAAATGCGTGTCGCACTTTTTGAAATTTGGGTAATATTTGTCGTTTTGTAGGTGGGATTTGGTGTATTCTGTTGAATTATTGTTTATTTATTGTATGATATCAATCAAAGTGAAATTAATTGAATATTAACTGTCATTATGCATATATTATTTCGGTGGATTAATCTTGACTGTAGATTAGCCTTAAATCAACTTTACACGCGCGGTTTATACAGGGAAGAATATATTTAATGTACATTTACGTTTGGGTATAAAATTATCTGTTTTAAATCCCATAAGTGTGTATAATCTGAAAATATATAATTCTGTAAAAACCCAAGCTTTAATATCGAAACTTTAACATGCAAGTTATAATTTGCCAATTTTAGTGAAGATACCATTTTTGGACATGCGTAGTAGCTTTTGATCACCGCCACTTCCGTTGCAAATATTTGCAAAACTGAATAGAAGATGTGACAGAAAACCAAATTTGCAACACGCCATTTACCCATATGTGGCAATGTTTAGTAGAAAGTCTCATGCAGACGTTAGGAAATCCTCGCAAAAGTTCTTCGACCCAAAGAAAGATTCTGCTGGCAAACTTAAACATTTGAGGATTGTTCTGGGTAAGTCTGCAAGCGCAAGTGATTATTTAGCATGGGCAATTTTTTATTCGGGATTCTGTGGAAATGATCCTCCAAAAGTATTCTTTAACGAAACACTCGCTGACTTTTGCAACTTCACATAAATAGATTGGGTTTGGTGAGTGACGGTTGCTGTATAATTGCTGATTTCATCGCACTGCAGTGCCAGTGTTACTTACCTGGGCAAAGTACTTCCTCAAAGAATTTTTCAATTATTTTACCAGATAACATTTCAACCCATGCCCCTGGGCATTGTTAATAAAACCAATATACAAGCATGGTCATTTTCTTCATTTATAATTTGATGAGCAAAACTTCGAATAATATTTTCTTTTCTGTATCTTGTCAAAAACACCAGTTTCAAACTCTGAATTACCCGTAGTTACATGTTTTGAGGCTTATTTGGATCTAAATAGTAATGTGGATAATTAAACCCCACAATAACTTTGTCTTTATATAAAACTTACCTGAAGGTCACTACATATCCGAGTTTTATTATCAGTCTGCTTTTAAAACTTGAGTTTTATTTCTTAACATTTTTTATCAGAAAACTATGAAACCCAAGATGCGAAAGCTTTCTTTGACAGTCACTATTCTCAGATCTACTTCAACTTTTATGAAGTGTTTACCACTGTTGAAGCAGATTTGAAGCAAAGAGGTAGGTATAATTTAATTACTTTTAAAATAGATTAATCCCTCTGAAGTTATTATAGCAATATATTTAGTTCAGAGTGTTTTGTTTATTAATGTATATTCCAGCATGCTATTAAGATAGATCAGTAAAGTAATTAAGCTTTGGTCAAATATTTTTTTTAACAAATTGTTAAGAATCACATCTCAAAATATATTCATTTTATTTTGGTCATAACTCTTAAATATCATTTTAGCAAATAAGACACATCGTGAGGAACTGGAGGCAGCATTATGTATCTTTGAGGTAAGATTACTTTATTTCTTATAAATTGTGAAAATGATATTATCCAGGTATAGACTGGCTGAGGTAAGGATATTTTGCAAGCTTCAGAAAAGTGTTATCGCTTGAGGCACAACATTTTCTCTGGTTTGTAAAATGACGATAACAACAGCAGTTAATATCATGTTTGTTTAACAGTCCACCATTCATACTACTTTGTAATAACCTCACCTGGGCCTTCTGGGAACATACTGTTCCCCTTCTTCAAGCTGGGTATTCTGTGTGTTGTCATGTGACTGGATGTTCTAATTACATGACAACAGTGCCTCATATGCTGGTGGAAGTATTGTTTTAAAATAGATTTAAGTATTGTCTACCCTTGTCACAGTTGCCATGCTGCCATTCTGTTTGATTTGGATTTTCAGGTGCATGATGTTTTTATGTCTTTTTCTAAGATTGGTCTTTGGAGGATATTGGCATGTTATCCTTATTGCTACATTTGACCTTCTTTTTAACCATTTCAGAAAATTCTGTTTTTTCTGCCTGAGCTAATTCACAGGAGGTGGCAGTTTCACAGCATAGGTATGTAATAATTCCAAGTTTTAATTGATAAATCCTGTTCTCTCTTTACTGATTTTAATGTACCCCAGAAATTGAAGTTATTAGTAGGTATTGTTAGCTTATTGGGCCAAATGGGCCAAAGTTTTACAGAGTAGATTTCAATGCTTACTTTACAAGGTGTAATAAAATACTTTTGTTTTTAAATTCTCTCTTTTTTTTCCAAAATATAAATATGCTTCATATCTCAGTAAATAAAAAGTTTTTTTTTTTTTTAAGAAAATAATTTTTTGGTATGATGCTATAATTTAAAGGATCATATCTGATAGACATGTAGTGGGCGTACTTACTTTTATCTGTGTTTATTTGTTTTAATGTTGTAAGATTGCAGATAAAGATGTACTTGATATAACACTGAATGATGATATTTTTCTGTGTGTGTATTTTTAATGTATTATAATGATTTATATCATTTTATCAATGTTTGTCGCAGGACGAATCATCAAGAAACTTTTGCATACAGGCAACTCATTGAAGGTGAGTGAAAGCTGCATCTTTCTATATTATTTATTAGTTTGATACAACTAGATATTTTTCAACTTGTGTATTAAATTGTTTGTGAATAAAGAATGATTTTATTTCCCACATAATATATTTACATAACTTTTTGTAATGTAACTGTTTGAGAATTTGATTTTTTTCCCCACTTGAATAGCTTAAAGTCATAGCCATTTGATGTATCAGAAGTAAAATTGAATTGAGTACTTATAAAAAAGTACAAGTAGATTTGAAAATTGATTGAAAGATTGACTTGAGTGAGTGCTATTAAAGTATTTTGCAAGAATATTAGCAAATATTCTAAATAAAGTTTATTTGTGTTTTATTGTTTGTTACCAGTGTATGGCATTTTTTCTAAAGATTTTTTTTCTGAAAAAAATGAAAATGTTGGACAATTACCCACCTTTCTGTTATTCATCTGGTGAGAAAAATTAGTATTCTGCTGAATGTGAAAAATATGCAAGTGTGAGCAGTGTTCTGTTTGATACAAATATAAAGAAGGATATGGCTTTTTATTCCAGCTACGAAGAGAGGGTATTCGCCTGTTTGTGATCTGGTATCAGACATTGAAGGATAACGCCAGTGAGGAATGTCACACCACTTTTGCTGCTATAGTCCCCAGACTGGGCAAGAATGAAGGGGTGGACCAGGATCTCTTCACTGTGTCTGGGGATCCAAGAAGTATGTGAACTTTTAAAACCATGATTCATTGATTGATTAATTCCATAAATTAATTAATTAATTTTTTGTTGAATTTATTTATTATTATTTTTTTTGGGGGGGGTGAATACCTTAAAATACCCAGTCAATAAAACATTGTATATACATTCAACAATATAACGGATTTTTGTTATTTATTTACATATCAGTCTCATTTTCACTTTTCTTGAATCACTTTGGAATATATTCAGTTAACATGTAATTAGAACAGTTCCTTTTGATTTTTATCCCTGGATCAATATAAAACCTTTTTGAACATAAATGGTACAGATTTATATTGTTGATTTCTCATTTTTTAGGATCAACATTGCCTCCAATTCCTCCAATTAGAAAAACAGAACATGTTATTCCTCTGCTGTAATCTTTATATATATTTGTAGCTGCGGTCACCCCAGTGGAGATTTCGGCCATTCTCCCACCTCAGTCTGGGGAGAAACAGCCCGAGGATGTCACCCGTTTTCTTCTTGCCTCTCTACTGGAGTACATGGTGTCTGAGGTGACAGTTTTATTTCACTATGAAAGAGGGGTTTTTTTTTTGTGGTCTCTTATAAGGGTGATCAAATAGAATTATTCTTTATTTAGAGACTAAATAACATCAGTCATACATGATTTTTCGGCCCACCAGCTATGGACCTTGGTCACGTGAATGGTGATTTTATCCATACGTGGTTGACTGAAACGTCATGTTTGACTGATGTTATTTAACCACTAAGTAAAGAATAATTCTATTTTGTCAGTTTTATTGTAGATTTGGTTTCAAGATTCATTTGAGAATGTTTTTAGTTTTTAAATTTCACATTTTTAATATACATTTAATACTTCACAAAACTTATAGTAGACACTATGAGTGAATTTTGTTAAGATAGAACAGTTTGCAAAGACAGACAGGGAGACCAAATCAATGTATTAAAATTTAAGTTGGGGCTTACTTTGTAATAATAACAATTTTAAAGTTAAGTTCATGACAGAATTAAACCTCTGCCTGTGATTATGGTGATCTCAGTGAAACGTAATAACATTGACCTCACTCTTTATCCTCTTTATTCAGTGTAACAACATAATGACAGAACTTGTATTTATCAAGGTATCTTTTGATTTCCGTTATCAGGTGAACAACATTGAGTGGTCTAATAAGGATGAGAAACAAAGTAGTTTTGACTTCATATTTAATCAGTTCAAGACCTATTACCTTCACAACATATTCCCAGAGTTTAACAAGCACACAAGTCTCTATGATCCTGTGCTAGGTTAGTACATTTATTTCTAAGCATATGCTGATTATGTCTCAGAATTTTAATTATTTTAAATATTTAAAGGCATAGCATGATGTGTGGCATACTCAGACTCCTTAAATCTTTTCAATTAATATTTTGTTTCATATTAAGTGTATATCATGAGTATGAACCCTTGTGTTTACACGGAAATGTGTACATTGTATTAAATTTCTAGTTTGCAAGAATGAAGTTTCAGTTTGTTGTGTTTGTAAGATGTGTATGACAATGAAGTAGCATTTGTACATTGTAATTTAGATGTGATACTGCAAACTTTTCAGACCTTCCTGTGTTACGCCCCAATCCTGACCCCAGGGGCCCACCCACCATACGCCCTGATGCTCTTTCTCTCTGTCAGGAGGTGGTCATCAAATGGATCACTACCTTTGTACATTTGCCAAAGAAACAGGAAACAAAAAAATCAGAGTAAGTTTGGATGGAAAACAGTGGGAAAAAATCATACATGTTTGTATTTATAACAAAACCATTAATATGTAATGGGTTGTAGTTATTTTCAACCCATCGTCTAAAAGTCTATTACCTGGTACAACAGTGAGTGACTTGTGTTGTGTGAACTGTTGTCATTACAGACCGGCTGAAGTCCTGCAGCACCCCCCAGAGCATGAGCCAGACGAGGGAGACGGTAACAGCGGAGAAGAGACACTGCGGCCAGAGGACAGCTCCATCCCACCAGAGAGCAGCACCAATACCCTGACCTCTGCTTCCCACGGGGACGCTGCCTCAACTAAATCAAGTGACGACGAGGATGAAGGACAGCTGCTGACTGAGTTTGAGATTGTCCGCAGCGTTTTGTTTTCCACGCAGGAGAATGTCAATCTTGTTCATGAAGTGTTTAGACAGGCACTGTTGTTGCCTTTTTACCATAGTGGAGCTATAAAAAAGGTTTTGGCAGTTTATAAGGACTGGCTGCAGGTAAGCTTTGCTGTTGTTAAATTATACATGTAAGTTTTTTCATTAACATGTAAACAGGTTAAAAGATAGAGAAACTATTTTTTGACATGTTTCTTAACATTTTACATCAGACTGATATTTGATAGAATGATTTCAGTTCCTGAAAATGCTTTTAATAGCCTGATGAGAGTTACTTGCTATGATGTCATTATTGTGGACTAAATTTGGAAAAAGATGAAAAACCAACAAGATTTACAGTTTATCTGCTATCATGTATCGCATACAGCATTGGGCAAGTTATGAAGCAACAACGCATTGAAAGGTTTTAGCCCTTTAAAAGCCTTTAGACTGCAGTTTTGCATAATCAGCTTGCTAGAACCTTTGGTTATGATTACAACCTACATTTTTAGAATGAAGCAGACAGACCCGTATTCATGAAAGAACCAAATGATTCTGCAAGGGGAATCGACAACAGAAGAGAAAGTGGCAATGGAAAGTTGGGAAATATATCTGAAGAGAGCTCATCAGAGGTATAATGATAAAGTTGTCAGTGGAGATATCTTATGTTAAAGTTTCATTTTGTAGTCCCAGGAGGAATTGAAAGTAGATTTATATAGTTTTATTAGGTGAATGTGAATAGCTGCTTTTATTTAAGAATTTCACTGAATGTTTTCTTAAAGTGCATCAGTAAACATTGCTTAATTTGAAAACCTACTTTCTTTTTGAAGGAAAACTCCTCCACATCACCTCCACCATCTTTTCTCCAAGCTGAGCCCCAACCTGGTATGCGGAAAAGAAACGACTCCTACCTTGGCGCCATCTTTTCTTCCACGCCTGATCTGGAAGCCAGCGTGTGTGCAGGTTTACAGAACACACTGCAGGTTCTTATCACCAATACTGCTAACGTGTTCTTGTTGGAGCCCAGTGAGCATCATAAGGTGTTTTCAGAGCAGGTGGGTAGATTTGGCTCTTGATTATTAGTGCCATAAAATGTTTTTTTTTTTTTTTTTTTTTTTTTGTGCCTTTGGACTAAGTGTTAGTTTGTAAGATTTGTAGTAAGAGTTTATTAGAGTAACAGGTCTTAATATTTTAAGTTTGTATGCCATTTCTGGGTCATGATTCACAAAGGAACTTTAGTACATTGTGGGAGTTAACTTAAAGATAGAAACTTTGAACCAAGGTAAATCTGTACCAGTTTACTTTTTAGCCTACTGCAGTCATATCTTGCTTCAAAAATAGACTAACGTCCTGGTTTTTAAATCAAATGTTTTAAATCATATGTTTTATTCAACTTCTGCTGTGAAATGGTCATTTATTCAAAAAGAAATGCATGGCAGGTCATAACACTTAGGAGGTACTCTTACTAAAATAAGATGTGGAACTTTCAGGTGGAAATGTGTAGAAGAGTGATCAACATGTATAGATATGTAGTGATGAATTTGATCATGGAGCAAAGAACTTGGTTGGTATTTTGCTTTATAATTGAAAACTTTAGTCAGTTTTTACCATTTCTAAGACGTCTTCTTGTTGTATTATAAACATTTGAAAGTAATAAACGTATTTTCTAAATACCAAATGAACTTAACTCCATAAACATAAATATTTGAATTTTTTAAACTTTTTTGCAGGGAACAATTATTACAAGTATTACTGAAAGTCACTTCAACAGTATTAAAAGAGAATCCACCCCCATACAGAGACAAGAATCTGGGAGGCAAACTGGGCACTGCAATATTCCAAGTGGGTATAGGGTTTTACAGCATACAAACTTTCTGATCAGTTTTGTCTCCTACTATGTACTATAAATGTGCCATAGAAATTGTTATGCTTCTTTTTGTTTTATATCTAATTAAGCCATAATATGTGTAGCCTCATTCAAGAAAATCTTTAAAAAACCTTTTTTCGGTCTGGATGTATATATGTATTGAAATTGTGAAATGACCAGCATCTGGACTTACACATGCAATTTTTCTATCATTGTTTAATCCAGATAGAATTGTTTTTACTCAGAGGTATTTACTTAATTATGGAAGACTTTTGTAATTATAATAAAATTGTCATACACTGGTGGGTTTATCTGTGATATTTCTTGTTGTTGAGAGTACAAACAACAAGAAATGAACACTCACCAAAGAAAAAAAGCTGACTTTGCCTCAATGCCAGCAGAAGATATATCTGGTATTGGCCGAGGGGTCAGACATTTTATTGCTTAAATGTTTATTATATTAATTAATAGTTAATATATAACATTAATGGTTAAATAAATGTTGAAGAATTTTGATAAGTCATTTATTTATTTCCAAGTCATCCATAACTTAATAATTTAAAGCAGATGTTTTAAACCACACCACACATAAGTATGGGTAACAAAAGATATTTTGTTATTGTTGTGTATAGGAACTTGTTTTACAAACAGACATCTAAATAATACCCTGTCTTTGTATTGCAGACTTTGATTGTCACCTGGATCAAGGCCAATCTGAGTGTGCATATCTCTACAGAGCTGTGGGACCAGTTTCTACAAGTCCTGTCCTCCCTCACACAGTGGGAGGAACTAGTCAGGGAGTGGGCTGTAAGTATTATGGGAACTAGTCAGAGATTGATAATGAGTGAGAAGAACTTTTGCATATTTGTCGTTGGATTAGAATTTTTTCGATTAGTTGAGTCATTTTGAAACTTTTCTGTCGGCAGCAATATTAGAATTATTTACTGATTAATATACATAATTCAATATCGTGAGTATAAGAAACTAATATTCCTCGGATTATGTAATGAATAATTTTCTTTTTTTTTTTCAGAAAACTATGGAGACGTTGACTAGAGTACTGGTGAGGCAGGTGTACAACTTAGACATGCATGACTTACCTTTAGACAGATTGAGTGAGCAGAAACAGAAGAAGAAAAGGGGAGGCAAGCAGCAAGGTGATTTTCTTTAATAAAACATACTTTGCAAAAATTATTTTCCTAAAAGATTTTAGAAACTTCAGAGCATCCCAGCAGCAAATGGGCTAAAAGGTTTACAATGATGCTGTCTTTTATTAATATATAATAAAGCTTTCATAAAAATGCAAAAAAGAGAATGTAGCACATTCATTTTACAATGTTCAGGATAAAACAACATGAGGTCTTGGTATCATTTTTATTGACATTTTTGTTGAATTAGGGTGGTATACTGATTCTGAATTAAAATCTACTTATTTTATTATTCTAGGCAAGAGGCATACCAGGACATTTTCCAGAGCCTGGAGCCGTATAGAAAAAGAACATGTGGCCCAAAGTTTTCTTATCCAGTCCACCAATCAGTTAACTACAGTGGCAGAGAATGGCCAGTCTGGGGCCACAGCACCTCCTACCATTATTACTACCAGTAAGAAAGAACTGGCACTATACTGGACAGATTCATAACCTGCAGTGGCATAACCCAGCACAATTTGACGTCTTTGCAGATTTTACAGATACAAATACATACATTGATTTGTCAGATACTTTTTGTGTTTGACTTTCTTTGCCAAAGATTTTTTAAATAAATAGGGACAGGAAAAATTACAATTGTATCTAAAAAGTCATTTCTTAGGTACAGCTTGTATTGTGCATTAAGCACTAGGTAAGTTTATGCAAATAGAAGCTATATATTTTAGGATATGACAGGATTAGAGTTTTTGTGCTGTGAATAAAATTTCAGATGGAGATGCAAGTAACAAAGCTGTCCTGTGGAAATTTCAGGTTTTGAAGGTTCAGAGTTACCAGAGGCCCCAGTACGTCGCCAGAGGTCTTTTAGTGGAGATTCCTCACCAGCTCATTCCAGATCAGCCAGCGACATCGATGAGGGTGCCGCACAGCTAGTGCGCAGCAGCAGTGACAGCAACATAGCCCTAATTGATCTGGAGGGAAGGCGGAAAAATAAAGGTACAGATCAAAATGATAGAGTGACAAGAAGCCTAGTGCATGTACAATGAGGCAGTCCATAGGTGTGTTACTTATGGTACAGTACAGGCTGTTCTCCATTGGGATTTAATAACTGTTGAACTTTATGCCACAGGTCTTTCACCCCACTTCATGTTATACCTATCCAATAACACACAGGAACTTGATTTGATGCAGAAGCATCTCTTTTCAAGTCAACTCTTACGATTGTGCAAGCCTGTTAACCAAAGAAACATATTCATTTACACAGATGCTTTAGCATCTTTATATAAAGAGCAAACTGTTAAAAAGAACTGCTTTTATTTGTATTTATTTTGTTTTATTTTAATTTCAGGCTCCAGTTTTGTCAGTGATACCAGTGCTGATTCTTCTGGTAATGCTGAAACTACTGATGATGAAGAACACAGGGGTAATAAGATAATAATAATAGATCTGGATCAATAAGAAATGTTTATTTGTCACAAACTTGAATGTTTCACTGTAGGCTTTTGACTTAATTCTAAAGTATGAACTGTTCTCTTGAATATTTGTATGATTCAGATGTGTGGTTTTTATGACATATTACAACATGTTCTGTCTATTCATTTTCCTTCAATTTGTCTATGAAAACTAGTGAAGATATTGATCAGAAGTGATTATTTCTTTATTGAAACTTGTATCCAGGATTGTGTTTAAATGTTTTAAAGAAAATATGCTTTTGAAGATGCCTCTAAACAATAACAAAATTGGTCATATAAACCCCTTCTGGTAAATGCTTTGGCACAAATTACAAATCCTTTAAATTCCTTCTTTGTTTCCCATAGATTCATCCCAAGTTTTAGTGAAAAACTAGGTGGTTGTATATTTATTAACAAATCTAGGTAGTTCTAATCAGATAAGGTAATATTTTGACCTTTTCTGTGATGTTTCTGATCCAGACTTACTGAACATCAGCCAAGAGGACCAGGAGGTAGCCACAGTCACGGCAGGCCTGTCGTCTGCTCTCATTGACACTGCTGCCATGATCACGGACACCACCAGTATGACCAGTGCCGAGAGTATTCTGGTGCCCTATACCTTCATGGACCATGAGAAGAGTGGCGACAGTGGGAGCACAGAGAAAAGTGATTCAGATCAAGCAAGAAGAGGTATAGTGTGGTTTTAGGCATTATTGATGCGTTTGTAAATATGGAATGTAAATTTTTCAAGAAAGTGCAGTTTTGCGCAGCTTTAGAACTACAGTTTTCTTTATTATGACAGCGAAGTTAAAAACTGTTATCAAAGTTTTTGAAATAAGCAATTGCTTATTGTAAAGCTAAATCCATTCACTGGGAGAAACACTATATCTAGTAATTAAGCTCAACTCATGTAAATATAAAAATAATAAAACTAAATTCATATGAAGTAAAACAAATAGTGTTGATGAAAAGAGATGTTCCATTGATTTTTTTAAAAATTCGTCAATTCAACAGTAAAAAGAGATCAGAGCTTTATTTGTTTTTTAAGCAGGCTCCACCTCCTCCCCAGTGTCATTTCACTCTACCAGGTCAAGGTCAACATCAAGGTCAGGGTCACCTGTGACCTACAGACAATCTGAAGACCTGCACGAAGAACCTGTATTCAGAAGAGGTGACTGACTCTTGTTATGTTATGTTCTTGTATTGTTCTTGCCTTTTATGCGCATTTCTTGAGAGCATTTTATAAAATGTTAATAGATAATTAAAGTATGATGATAGTGATAATAGGGATAATAACAAACAAAAGAATGAAGGAAGAAGGAGGCAAATGTTGGAATAAGCATAAAACTACACACAGTAATTGTACTAGTGTGTGTGTTTGCGTGTGTGTGTGTATTTATTTATTTATTTATTTATTTATTTATTTATTTATTTATTTATTTATATTTTCCAGATGATTCCTCCTCCATGATCAGGTCTCAGTCCAGGTCTCCCTCTCCTGGTCCTGAGGAGGAAGAGTTATATGAGGTAGAGAAGGAGGAACTTCACATCAAAGACTCTGACACCCCTGATAGAGAGAGTATCCATATTGAAGAGGAGACACCTGATGAAAATCTTCTAAGCCCAGGTAAAAAAAAACACTTAGTTTCTAAAATAATGTGTTCCTTTTTTCATTTGCAAGAAACAAATATTCTGTGTGTTAGAATCCATAAAAGCAAGAGTAAATTTTGTTGCATTTTAGATTGGATAAACACTTACCTTAAACTGTTCATAGCATTATCTAAGAACAAAAGTTCAGTTAGTAAAGAGATAACAATTAAAAACAAACCGTATAAGTTATTTTTTGTTTGTATATATAATGTTATCAGTGCATTTTTGTCTAGAATGCTATTGCTGTATAAAAAAAAAACACTGTCATTTTCGATGTGGGTGTGTGTTTCAGTATTAACCATGCATTCCTGTCCTGAAGACAGTCGCTGTGTCTTGGCTGGTGGTAACGTCACAGGCTGGACACCAGAGGCCGCTGTCATCCTGTGGAGACGGATGCTGGGAGCCCTGGGGGACATCAACCAGATCAAAGACCCAGACATCCACGCCAGTGTGTTTGAATATTTTTGTGACCTCACAGACTCTCTTATCAAAGTGAGTGCCCTTCCTCTTAGAATATTTTAGAAAAATTTTATCGCATTTATGTGCTTTGCTAATAGTACTTTTGTTAATAGAATGTTGAACATGGAAACAGTGACATATTTATGTGAACTTAATTGAATCTTATTATAATTTTGAGTATTTAATTTTTTTTTATTTTTATGTTAATTTGATCTTAAAAACAACAAGCATGTGTCATTTGAAATTAGAATTTTAAAAAGTTTTTATCTTGAACCATCACTCTTTACAGTGATGACTATGCAAAAGAATTTTGAAGTATTTCAAAATTCTTTTCTTTTAGGTACGTGAAAACCAAAGTGTAACTCCAGACAATCAATCTTCTCCAATACGGCCAGAATTTATTCCTCCTATCCTCATGATAGCTCCATGGTTATTCCGGGTAAGTACTTACTGTACACACACCCTTCCTGGAATGTGACACAAAATTTAAAAACTTGTGGATGTTCTGCTGTGTTGCTTTCATACTGTTTAGAGAGAAGCTCTCATATCTGCTTAAAAACATGGACGTCTGCCTTCCGTCTGTAAGTCTTTATGATAATCTTTATGCATCCTTATACAATTACATCAGAGAAAATCTTTTAAATCATTTATTTATTAGACATCAAATTTTCATCATATTGAATTTTTATGTTTTTGTGTTTGTAAATTAGGCTGTAGAGCTTCAGGACCGCTACAAGAGAGGCAGGTTACTAGCCTACAGGTTACTGTGTGTAATATCTCTGAGACGCCACGACGTCCCCTTACCAATGGACCACCTGTCTCAGTTCTATAGAGTTCTACACGAAGGTCTGATGAGTAATGATCAAGTGAGTAAACAGTCCAAACCTCTTTTTGTGGACACTTACATAAAGGACCTTTGAATATATTCTGTCAGTTCTGGCAGTGAAATTTCTCTGAGAGCACAAATCGAAAAAATTACTTTTAATGTCCAGTGGATTATCCATCTCATTTCTTAATAACTTTCTGTGTCAGTTCTCTCAGTAAATTATAATAAAGTAATTAAAACATTTACCAGGATGTGGTGAATGCGTTGGTGAGACACTGCGGTCCACGCTTCTTCTCTATGCCATTACCAGGCTCCACCATATTACTACTAGACTTCCTTCATGCCGCCAACACCATAGCCTCTTCCACAGACCTCAAAGAGGTAAGTTGCCTTCCACCAGCTTCTGCCATCTATTTATAGTTACATTCCTAATTCCTGATGTGGTTTTCTCGCCTTTTGATGAATTGATGTACTTGAGTTCTGAAGCTAAGCCCAGAAAGAATTCCATTTACTGTTTGTGAAACTCTAGATCAGGCTGTTTGACCCAAGAGGCTTGTACAAAAGTGCTAACTATATATTTATCAGTCCTCTAGAAAGAAATTCACTCTACTGTTAAATGAATGTAAAAAAAAAAAAAAAGAGTTGATTTTTGGGAAGAAATTCGATATAACTTAGGCAGATATATTGTGTTTTGACATGGTATGATTAGACACACAAACAGCTTGAGGGAAAATTTTTAAATTGCTGTAATAAATCACTTCAGGCTCCCAGAACAGAGGCAGTGTCCATCCTGGGCTCTCTCCTGTGTCTTCCCAACCACTTTGGCCAGCTGTCTGTCCTGCAGCCCAGTCCAGTGGAAATGACCATGATGTGGTGCAATGACCTCAAGGACCATCTCATTAGTATGGTGTTGAAGTGTGGAAAGAAAGAGCCAGCTGGACTGGCAAGGTAAGAGATTTTGGACAGAGAACAGCCTGGTTAGAGGGTTTGGACAAAAAAAGACAGCAAGGCTGAATAAGTGAAAGGTTTTGGACAGAAAAGAGCCACAGATGAAATATGTGGAAGATTGACTCGAAACAACAGCTAAAATGTTCACAAGTTGGAAATAACTTTGAAAAACCAATTTTTTACAAGGTTGTAGCCAGATTTAGTGGTCAGTTTCCTCAACCTGATGGCAAATGCCACAGTCTGTTAAAATTATTATGCTGATTTTGTTTTGTTTTCAGATGTGTAGCAATTAGTAGTTTAGGGATATTTATTTATGAAGAGTTGAGTCATGGGTCCATGCACTCTAAGATGAAGGAGGCAGTGAATGTACTACTGGCAGTGTTGAAAGTAAGTAGTCCATTTTGTTACTACAACAAATGACTGTTTTATGGTTTGTCATGAAGACAACAGTAAATTTAACACCAAATGTCCATGTCTTCTGCTAAAAGTTAATCTTGTAGAAATTCCCTTTGAAAATCCTGGAGGAAATATTTGTTCAATCTTCTGTGGAGATTTAGCAATTTTTATCAGGATTTTAAGTAATATTTCTATGAGATTTGACAGTGAAAAAATCATCCCAATCACAAGAATTGTTGCTATAAGAGTTGTATGTGAGTAACTGTTAAATTTATTGTTTTTATATATTATTCATTTCCCATTTGAGACTACCATAGTTCTTTATTCTTTTCATGACAGAGAATATCTGTTTTATCTAATATGGCACTCTAACTGATATTACTTCTTTTTCTTAGAAAGTTTTGCATCTTTGATAAAAATCTTCTGAAAGGGGGGCTTTATCAAATTTACTTATAATCAAACTATTAACACTGTTGCATCCTTAAGTACAACTTTTACTTTCTGTGCTTTTATTTCAATTGTATAAAGCTAATGGAAGCAATTTCTTTCCTTTTAATTTTCAAAATGAGTTTTTCTTTTGATGTGCTGACTAAAATAGTTGTTGTGTAAGTTTTGTACATACTAGCAACCTTTCAGTGAATTTAGGGAAACCAAAGGAAATGGTCATAGCAAGTTTTATTAGATGAAACAAAGATGCTGGAAATAACTACTTAAAATGTTTTTAAATAATTTTTTCTTCTGAAAATTTAAAAAAATGATTATTTCTTTGGCAGTATTTATGGCAAGTAAAAGCAAAGAGTCACAATTCTCAAAAATTTTTTGTCAGACTTACTTTGTTCACAATGCTGTCAACAATGAGCAATTTTCAGAGGACAAAAAAAAATATAGGGAGTCCATTGCATGTGACTGAGACAAGTGGAGCTCTGTTCTTGTTTCTTTATTGCTAGCTGCTTCAGTTCAGCATCTTGTTGTTTTAGAATTGTTTGAGCCCTAAGAAGGAATGGAGAAAGGTATATGATCTATTGTGTTATTTGATCAGTGCCGCTTTCCCAGTATTTCAAGATAGGTTCTCAGTTTGGATTAAATTTTGGATTTAACAGAAACCAGTTTAAGCCTAACTTCACTTATTAAAGTAGATCCTTAATTGCAACCCCTTGGGTGAGCTGTGTGCTCTGTGGCAGGTCATCCATTTACATAATGCATTTTTTAAAAATTGATTTTATAAAATGTTATTCCATGTTTTCAGCATTTTGTTTCGACCAGTGAGGCATTATTGTATAACTTATTATTAACACAACACACTTAACATATGAATTACTTATGTTCTGTCTCATTGGTTGATTCAAAAAGCTGGCACTGGGTAAAGGAATAAGAGAGTGTGGGAAAGTCATGAAAGTTCCTTCACTGTAGTAAAATTGAGTGCCTAACTTGAAATGAGTTCAAGGAAAAGCTGCAGATCAAACGACTTTCACAAATGCATGCACATTTCAGTTTTTATTATTATTATTATTATTACCATGGCAATGATGTTCCTGTATATATCTCATGTATAGGTTTGGCCCAGCATCAATGTAAGTTGTTTATTATTTTTGTTTACCATAGGACAATATAGAATTGTATACAGTTTTTTTTTCATCTCCCAGTGTCCATCAAAATATTGTATAACCATAGCCTTCTTATCAAAGGCCAGTTTGATAAAAGAATGGTATAAAAAAGTTTGTCATAAATTGAGAACAAATTTTTTATTATGCATTGGCGGAAGTTAAATCAGTACAGTCCTCTTAAATGAAATGTTGCGCTTTCTTTTTAAGAGAGAGAGGCTTTCATATTTTTCAGACCATTTATAACTTGTTTAGTCCACCACGATGGATTTATTCTCTGAAGTAGATCAACGTTTGCAATTGAAAAGGGAAGACCAACTTTCTGTATTTAGTTCTTTTGGGCAACAGATTCCACAACTGTTTAAATTGTACACAGTTCATATATATTGTCCTATTGGTTGGCCTGGGGAGATAATACACAGCTAGTCACGTAATGACCTACTAATGTCAGATGTTAAGACATATTTAAGGTTATTCGTGGTAAGATGCTTACCCTGCATTATTTCTAAGTGCATGATGAGAAGATGCAGTTTTTAGATAGATAATCAGTATAATCAAAAATAAGACCCGTGTTTATTAGCCTAATAAAACTGGAAAGTTTGCAGGTAAATGCAGTTTTCACCTTGATGACTAACTTCGTTGAGGATTTACTGTACAATTGGTGTTGGGCTAGACCTTTACATATCTTTCATTATTACAACAATGAAATGCAACCAATAACTGGCTTTGACATCGGTGTGTGTAATATGAGATTGAAATCTGTTGAACAAGTTTATTGCTCTTCCAATTACTAACTAAATCATCCCTATTGATGGAGGATGACAGTATATTTTGAATCTAAATAATTGAAGTACTCTAACCTAATGGTATCTAGACTTTAACAAGGCTATGTTCCAAGGTAACATAGAAAGGTAGTTCAGGGTGCAACTTTTTTTACCAATTACCAAATTCGGTATATGGCCTGTTTTCAAGCCAAGAGAAAGGACATTCAGATTTCCATACTGGTAAAGCACTTGCTAAGAGTATAATGCTTGAATATATACATTGTCAAGTTTGTGAGTGGATGTGGATGAATTACACCTCTGTGATTCAAGAATTAGTAATGGATTTGTCAGCTGACTCTTTGTATATATATAATTGTAACAAGGTGAATATAGAGGTGATATTTACACAACACATTGATCTGAAAAATTAGAGTGATTAATTGGCACTTAGAAAACTTTTTTGTGCACTGCACACCTAATTGTTTGCAAAGATCAGAAAATAATGTATTTCTATTTACTATTCATTTAGCACTGTGATTAAATTTCAGTGATATTTAAAACTTGTCAAAATAATATCATTTTGTCATCTGTTGATCAGAATTAATTGTTGCAGAACCTTTTTGGATCAATGTGGTTTGCATAAAAAAAATGTAATCAGATTTTTTTTCTGAAATTTGGTAGGTGTTATTGGTTTGGTAAATTTTTATATATATATTCAAGAATCTAATAAGTCCAGTTTAGAGGTAATAAAACTAAAAAAATATAAAGTCTAGCATCTATAAGAGTGAACTTTGCTGTATCTCCTCTATGCTGGGAAGCAGCCAGGAGCTTTCTCAGTCTCGACGCTTAATTTTTCTGCTTAGTGTAAAGCCTGTTTCTCAACAATGGCCACCATCCTGTTATATTTCAGTATAGTACTAACCAGCTCTCTGATCCCAAGGTCAGTTATATGCTACAGCACAGCTGAACACTTGCTTATGTGCTTATTTAAAAAATCTTCACTGGTCATTTTCATAAATTCTTTTTGATCCTGCTGCATATTAGTCATTTTGCTTTACCCCCAAGTTTTATATACTTGTCTCAGGTAATACATTTTTAATCAACATTTGGTATAGTTATTAAAAAAACAAAAAGGATCGTCATGAGATAGATGAAATAGTATTAACATTTCCACCCAGTCCTACCTATCCCCTCTCTCTCTCTCCCTCTCTCTCTCTCTCTTTCTTTCTCTCTCTCTCTCTCCATATTTATGCCTTTTATCATGCTCCTAATCCAATTTCACATTCTTGATTTATTATAATTAATCCATATCTGAGCATAAATAATAAGACAGTTGCAATGCCATATACCATTCCTATCAGCTTGGCTTATGTTTAAAACATGCTTAGTTAACACATAACAGTGAGATATTTCCACTACATAAACAAAACAGTTGTGAATTAAGCATGATGTATTTGTTATCCTTGATACTTATTCTGTCACTGACAGTAATAATTTTTCCTTCTCTTAATTTTGTGAACTAATACTGTATGCAGCTCTGTTCTTTATACTGTGACTATCTTTCACACTCAGTGACTTACGTATAGTTGTTCTTAAAATCATTTTATTTTATCAACCTGCTTCGCAAGTGCAGAGGTTACAAAATCCAAACAGAATGACAATTCCTAATTTTCTTCATAAAGAATATATTTTACCAAGTATTTTTCCCCTCTTACTTTTCTAGTTCAACAGTAAGTTGGTGGCACAGGTGGCTTGTGACATGCTGAGATTGCTGTGTGATCACATCCCCACACTATTAGAGCACCAACCTGATCTGCCAAAGAAGATCATAGAAGTGATGGCCTCTACATTGTCTTCTCTGCTACCTGCCAGTGAGCACCAGCATTCTGAAGAAGAGAAGAGGGTAGGTAGAGTAAAATGAAAATTTCGATGAAAATTTAACAAAATCTGACATGTCAGAAAAGTTTTTATAAAATGATATATTAAGGTGATTTTTAAAAGTGCTTGGGTGTTAATTAAGTAGTGAATATCCAAAAAGTACTATTTTTTTGCACATAATATGAAGATTTGTTTTGTTAATTTATTTGCACATTTAGTTATATTTTCTGTGATCATAAAACATTTATTTATTTATTCTTGCAGCTATTGGTATCTATCATGTTCTGTATGTTGGAGTGGTGTATGCACATGCCTCTACACACACTGCTAGAGAAGTCAGACAGTGGAAGGAGCATTCTGTATAGAGTGTTTAGGGTATGTGTGGATCCAAGTATTCATATTGTTCCTTGGGGGTTATGTATAGGAATGTAGCCCCTACCCTCCTAGTGCATAGTTATTGATAATAGTATTTTTAATTTACTCTTACATGATTTTTACTCATATAGATATGTTTATGCAAAGTATTTACTTTTAGTTTATTTATTTATTTAACTTTACTTATTGAGGGTAAAAACATGCTAAATATAAAATTTATCTTCCCCATGATTATTTTGAAATTTCAAATTGTATATCTGCATTATAAAAAATTCAAGGAAGAGAATATAAAAACTGTAATAGATAAACAAATGTCGTTGTCAGATTTAATATATATATATATATATATATATATATATATATATATATATATATATATATATATATATAATCAGAAAAACTCTGATAAGAGAGTATAAAAACAGCATTATAAATTGTAATATTCGACTACTTCAGGTTCTCAATGTAGCAGTGGTGGGCGGGGTAAGCATGCTGACCCCAAAGATGATGCACCCCAGTACGTCCTTTGCAGACTTCTACGCCCAGGAGTCTGATGTGGAGGGGGTGAAAGATGGGGCCAACACCCCCACATTCAGCAAGACCCCCGACCTGGCCCCGGGGACCCCCCAAAAACCAGCCTCTCCAACTGTGGATCTGTTGAACATTGGCAATATGGATCTAGTCAAACTGGCAGCTAGAGTGGTAGGTGTCTGGGGTGAAATACTTAATGCACAGTAGAGATGTTAAACATGAAATTTAGATCGTGTCAAATTAACAAGAAGGCAGCTAGAGTAATAGGTTTTCCCTGTTTGCCCTGTTATACAAATCTTTCATTTAACCACATCTTTTAATGGGTAATGGCCACCCTATTGTCTTCTCTGCTCCCTGTTGTGAACACTATTAGCATTCAGAGAAAAAGAAGAGAAAAGGGTGCATTGAGTAATAAATAAGATAACATTTAGGGGGAATATTAAAGAGAAAATCTTCATCAGTGACCACTTCATGCGTCTGTATATTTACCTAGGTCCTGTGTCATTTGGTGAATCACTTGGGTCACTTCCCAATGGGGGGAGGAGCTGCCAAGTCCAATACCTTTGTGCAGGAATATCACGACTTCAGTCCAGCTTTGGACGAGCTTTCTACGGACATCTTCAGAGCACCCAATGTCCAGGTAATCTAAGACAACTGTCTGGTAGCCTGATCCATTAAAAAGACTATAGGAATAAAATGTGAGATGCTTTTTAAAAAAAAACCTAATGAATAACTAATTCTGGGCTCTAGTTTTGTATGTTTTGAAATATGCATGTCTTCAGTTTAATGTGAACTTTGAAGTTGTGTGTGTGTGCACATGTGAGAAGATGGGTAGTGGAGGTAGCCCTCCATAAACTCATTTTTAGTGAAAGGTGAAAATTGTGTTGTTCATCCTCTTGGGCTATATCATTTTAGTTGTTTTATTTCCATATATTCTGTAACCTACAAGGAATATAGATTGATGTTTTGCTGGCACTGATTTATTGAAATGTCATTCAAACAATACTCTCAATTGAGTGTTAATAATTTTCTTTCAGTTCTTTGTGCTCAACAATACAACCTTGATATCCTTTGTGGAAATTCCTGCTCTGGTAAGTTGTTTTTTCCTTACTGAAGTGCAGGTGATAAGGTGTGAATTATTTAACACAGTGTTAAGTAAACAGAACCAATGAAGGTTTTCCATGGATATGATTTTAAAGTTTTTGTTTTCAAAAGATAACATACTAGTGAATTTGAGTGAATGGAATTTTACATGGTGTTTTTGTGCTTTGAGAGAAGAGAAGGAAATTTAAACCATTTTTAACCCTTTTTTCTGTTTGACTCCCCTAATGGGGAGAAAGTCTCATGACTCACTTCAGTTATCATAATGGTCACATTGGTCAGAACTGATTGAATAAAACTATGCATGTAAAACAATGATAAAGCTAACTGTGATACTGTTTTCTTTCAGCTTGACCTCCCTGGTGGAGGAGTGACCGCAGGACTGACCACAGCTAACATAATGTCCAGATTACTATAACTATAATATAACTATGAGACTGTTGTTATATTTCAGCTTGACCTCCCTGGTGGAGGGGTGACTGCAGGACTGACCACAGGAAAGACGGTGGCCAGAGTGATCATACGGGACATTGTGGGGAAGTATTCATGGGACAGTGCAATATTATATGGACCTCCCAGCTGTCAGGCAGGCTCTTACCAACCTGGTAGGACAGTAATAATAATAATAATAATAATAATAATAATAATAATAATAATAATTCTGTTGCTAATGATGATGATGATGATTTAGGATCCAAAAATCCAATATTGTTCAGTAGACTTTGCAATGCAATGTGAATAAAGAATATAAAAGGTTAGGAAGAGAAAAGGAAAGATTGATTAAAACAGTATAATGTTTACTCACTGACACGTAATAAAACTGCAAGAAGTGGTCATAATTAACTAGTTTATTGACTAGTTGGGAATTTACTTTTGGAAGCTGTATTTAACTTATTTAGCAAAAAAAAAAAAAAATTAAGTAGGAGTGAAATTTGTGGTAATTACAGTATCAGTAAAAAGGTAACATTGAAGCTGGACCTTAAATCTAGGGTAGTATCCATATCCTCAGTTTAGATATGATATTTTATTCCTGTTTGATATTTACTTGAAGTCTGATAGTAGCATATTACTATGAATATCAGGGGATACTTTTAGGCTAAACTGCCCACCAAATCTATATGTCTCCATGACTGTTCCAGAGATCAGTCCTCTGATGAACTTCTTTGATGAGTTACTGGACCTGGCCCCCAGTACAGTGGAGCAGACCATCCTGGAGTACCTGCGGGCAGAGAGTCGGACCATTGACCCCGCCGTGCACCCCTCTGAGGTCAGAGAGCTGCTGAGACTGGGGGAGGACTACGACTGTCTGGATCATGTATGTGACACTTTGCCTTCTGGATTTCTTAGATAGTTGGGTGCTGTTTTTATGGCCCCAATTTTTCTACACATAAGCTTGCAAGGACTTGGAAATGATCCTTGTTTTTTCAGTAAAAATTATCCCAATGTTGAATATCAAGTGGAAAATCTGCATATGCAAAGGTTTTCCTATTCTATTTTTTCTACTCATTTTTTAGTTTTAAATAAAGTGAATAATTTGGTGAATACCTTGTGTATATGTTTTTCACATATTTGAAAATCCAACCAGAACTTTAAATTTATGCTTTGATCCCCAAATTTAGAATCTAGTCAGAGACTTGTAATGTATGATTAAAAAGATATTTTACATCTTTCTCTCTGTGTTATCAGTTGCTCCAGTATATCGGACAGACCAGTCCTGAGTGTGAACTACAGCCTGGAGAGCCTCTGAACATAGCAGCAGGACTGCCTGATCAGCTGTCAGACACCATGGAACAGGAAACCATGGCAACTCTACAGGAACAACAGAGCCAGGAGGAGAACTACACTGCAGAACATGAAAAGGACAAAAGGTTGGCTTTGAAATGTACAAGTTTTATTCAAGTTTACTTTTTTTTTCTATCTGAGAAATTCATTGGAAATAGATGACTTCAGGTGGTTGTGATACTAGTTAAGGGTTCAGTTGAATCATGTACTTTTTTGGAAATAGAAAAAGTTTTTCTCTCTGTTGTGTATTTCAGCGAAACTATAAAGATAAACATACTGTTCAATTTAGTAAGAAAATTTTTGTTTTTTTTGTGAGGCAGAATGTTTGTACAGCAGTTTCTGTGGCTACATTTAGCTTGTGATTTTTTCATGCGATTCATTTCATGTGCCATAGCAATCTCATATATCAATGTACAGTTATAAATGTTTGCATATATATTAATATATTAATTATTCAGTATGAGTGCAAAATCAACCACACCAGCCCCGAGTCACGATCCAGTGTCAACGTTTCAAACTTGTCGCATGCTCTTGAACCAGCTGGGTTTCTTAACATGGATAAAAAGGTATCTGCAGTCACTGGGGTTGTTGTTATCAGAGCATTAAAACAAACATGAAATACATGGGAATTTGTTTAGTTTTATATGCTACTAGGATAAAGTTTTATTGCTTAGAATAAATGAAAACTTTCGGTGCAGGATTTCAATTGTAGAGCAAGGTTTTTCTATACAGTATCATCAAAAGAAAGATTCCTGACACTAGATTTCTTTGATAGATGAAACAATTAAACTAAAACTACTATTATGTCGAAAAATTCAGTGTCCAATTGCTGTACGTTTTTAAGCTGGTTTTAGTTGATATTTGTTTTCACCTAAAATTTGTATTTCAGAACAAGTTTTGATCTTCTGCACAAAAGTGACAAGTTGCTAAGAGAACTGAAAAATCTGGATAAACAGAGATGGTAAAGTTCAAATTTAATTGATATTTTCACTCACATTATCATATAGTACTTTCCTATGAAAAAGTTTTTAATAAACAACTACGGCTCTGAAGCAGTGATTAAGTGCATAAACATAAATCATGACTTCTGCAAAACTTCATTAAAATCTATTTAGAAATATTTTTTTAAAAAACAGCCAAAGGCGATATGCCATAATGGACTTAGTTTGTATTTTGCCTTTCAGTCGAGAGACCCACAAGATAGCAGTGATCTATGTGGGGGAGGGCCAGGAAGACAAGCAGTCCATATTAACAACTCAGGCAGGAAGCAAAGCTTATGAAGACTTTGTGGCAGGACTTGGCTGGGAGGTAGGTAGATCCAAGTAACTGTTATGCTGGCAATTTTAAAGGCAAAATCATCAGCAAAGCTGACAGGCTATGTTAAGACATGTTGGCAGGACTTGACTTGGAGGTAGGCATTTCATGTGGCAAAGTCAAAAGAGTAGTTTCCAATACATGTAAACTACTTCAAACTTTGAATAGTTTGAATAATATGATAAATGCATTTTTATATTCAAAGGAGAGAGAGAGAGAGGACTACTCACAGCACAAAGCTAAAAGATTGAGAAGCAGCGAAACCCTACAACATAATACAATTTTATTCACTGCAAATATTTCTTTCTCTCTCTGCAGGTTGACTTGGAGCACCACACTGGCTTCCTGGGGGGTCTCCAGCAGAACAAGAGTTCAGGCGACACAGCGCCCTACTATGCCACGTCCACAATGGAGGTGATCTTCCACGTCTCTACCAGAATGCCATCTGACAGTAGTGACGCTGTGCACAGGAAGGTGAGTGCTCACAGCTGGCTGCCATGTTGACCATCGCCTAAAATATATGATTTTCAAAGTTACTTCTTGTCTGTTTGTTGTAGGCTAGGTGGTTATGAATTTTGTTGAAAATTTTATCTCATGACACGAAGGTGTATGAATGTATACATGGTGCATTGTTGCTGTTGAGGCATAATGTTTTTAAACATTAGACTTCAATAGCAACAAATTTTCCCATTAAACATGACATAACAAGTCATGTCAATTATGACATTTATACTGCTTCAGTGATCAAAATACCACTTGCTGCATCTAAAGTAAAGCTTTCTGACTGACTTAACTCATTAATTTGAAGAGAATGTGAATTCAGTTTTGGGAAATTGTTTCAATTGCAATATCTTATTGTTTATCATATGATCATTTATTTAATTTTACAGCTTCGCCACTTAGGGAATGATGAAATCCAGATAATTTGGTCTGAGCATAGCCGAGACTACCGTCGTGGTATCATCCCCACAGAGTTTGGAGATGTTCTGATCATCATTTATCCACTACAGAATGAACTGTATAGGATACAGATCAATAGGAAACCAGAGGTATGGACTTTGCTTTTCCAGGGAGCGTTCACAGTGAATGTTGTTGACCTAGCTAATGCGGGCTAACTCCATGGGGACTCTTGCTGAATGCAATCAGATTAACAGACTAACACGCCTCCTCCTGGCATTGAGTAGAATATAGAAAAGCTGGTGATTACACAAGAAATGAGGAGGCATGAGATGAATAGGTTTTAGAATATTTGGCAGCAGTTTTGCATGCAATCATAGGCACCCAAACATTTACATTCCACTTCATAAACCCTGAACAAGAAAAATCTAGTTCATGTAAATTCTTTTGAGGAAATGACCCCAGCTTTTAGAATTTTTTTCTGCATAATGAAACTGCTATTTCTCCCTGCAGGTGCCCTATTTTGGTCCTCTGTTTGATGGTGCAATAGTAGACCAGAAGGTTCTACCAGGCTTAGTGCGGGCCACAGCAATCAATGCCAGCAGAACCAAACGAGCTCAGTTGCCATATTTCCAGCCATTGTATCCTTTGATTTGATCAGGAAACTGAAATATATCCTGTTGGTCAGATATTTTGTCAAGTTTGTTTGCTTTCACATGTGTTGCCTTATTTCTCACAAAAATAATTTTACATATAAGAAATACAGAGACTTTAATGTTTGTCATATTGCTTTATGGGATTTCTTTACAAAGAAAATGAATAATTTAATATGAAAACTGATGTTCAGTTGAGAAATTGTTTGCAAGTATGTGCATTAATATTTCATTCATGGTCCAACTTTCTTTCTTTTGGAAAAATCTCGTGAGGATGTGACATCCTTAACTTCAACCCTAGCTTTGAGGAGCGCGCCAAATATTTAGACAACATAATTCAACAGCACAAGCAGCCCAGTATGTTTGAAGACTTTGCTGCCAATGTATTCGCACCTGTGCTGCCACAGGGTAAGTACACAATATTTTTACCACAGACGGGGGCAAACAGAGAAATTTACCTTCAGATACTATGTTTTGATATCATTTGTGATGTGAAATGTTTTATTTCTTGTTATCCTGGAAATTCAGTGTTTGAGTTTTACAGAAATTGGATACATGAAGTCCATCTATGTAATTATTCAATTCAGATGCTGTGGATGGTTTTGCAGAATTAGTTTTGATGACTCTCAGACATTATATCTACATTTTAAGTGAGATATCCCCTATTTAGCATGCGAGGCCACCTTAACACCAACGTATTGTAAATTATAGTTGATGACAAGTCATAAAAAGTAGCAAAATCAAATATTTATTATCTTACACTTCAAATATATTTACGTCATATTTTAACCCTCAAGTCAGTACCCTGTTTTGTACTTCTAATAGGGGATGTGTTTCTCTCATTCAGTTTACTTCAGACTTGCCTTTTAACAGTTTTTTATAACTTAATTCAAATCCTGTCATTTTTTCCTGTCAGCTGAAGACATTCCAACCTTGCAGACGACATTAGGGCCAATGACCACCTCTGGTTTGCTGGGTGACCAGTCCAGTGTCAGTGTCCAGGAGGAGGACAGTAGTCAGTCTCCACACAGCTCTATAGGAAGACACTCCAGAGGTACTGAGTGGACCTAATAGACAGCTTTATCTTGTGATGAATTAAGATGTGGTCTCACAGGACTAGTTTAGACTGGAGTAACTTATGTTGCACAAAGGGGCATTTGTCTTCAATCTGATTTCCTGGTGATTCTTGGTTTATTTCTGTTATTACTTTCTCTTTTGAAGTAGTCCTGGTCTTAATGAAACTTTAATTTTTAAAATTTTAATTATTTATTAATTATTTTAAATTTTTTGTTATTTATTAAATTTTATATTCTTATGAATTTTTTGTGGTATTAGAGTCACCTCTTCAAGCAAGCTTTCACTAGGAAGCTTTTTGTCAAAAGTTGATCTAGTATTCTGTCCTGTGGTGTTCAAAGTCTTAAGTCATGGTGAAGGAGTTGTTGGTCAGCCACTTATCATGTATGATAATTAATCACAAATGTCCAGCAATTCATTTGTCCCAAACTTTATGTTTTATCAAATTTTTGATATTTAGTTACTTACAAGAACTAATGTTTCTTAATGGAACTGATTCACCTTTTTGAATGCCCTTTTCAGGGTGTAAACAAGTATAAAAAAATCAAAATTGGTGGATAATTATACAACCTCATACACTTCATTATAAATCCTTCTTGGTACACTGAATATTAAGTTACTTATTTCAATGTTTTTGAGGGATTAATTATCTGGTGGACAAAATAAATGCACCAAAGTGTGCATTTGGATAATGCAAAAATCCATAAAATTCATTGAAATTTCACCTTTTCATTTTGAGTACCATATTGATGCATTATGAGCTACATCAATGCATTTGTATGCCAGAGTAGATTGTAGTGAATTGCAGTGCATAATTAAAAAAAATTAATAGTTCCAACCTTTTTTGATCCACCAGATATATGGTTGACATTGAACAACTCCTTCCTATTGATAACACGGTTTAGTTGTCTGCTTTGGGGGCTTTGGAATAGCTTATTGGGTGGCTGGTGCTTTTCTGATTTTAACCTCTAGAATTTAAATCACATTTGGCATTTTTAGTGTTAACAACTTTTTTCTGATACTCGGACCCCTTGCTTTTGTTCAGCTTGTAAGGTTTTACTGAATTTGTGTTCCTTTTTTCCCTGGGTCTATAGTTATACACCAGCCATTCTAGGTATTAAATCTAAACATATATTCTTTTATTCACCTTTGAAGCTTTAAATGAGTTTTAAATACTTATATTTCCAACCTAAATAAAAGTAGTTGTACTTGTATAATGATGCTGTCTTAAGTTATCAAAATACCACTTAATGATATATTTTCTCCGTCTGCATTAATATTTGGCCTGGTGCTTACGAGTCAAGTAATGTAGATTTGCATCCAGTCTTTATAATGAGGAAAAAGATATGAAAAAGAATTTTCTTTCAGCAAATACTAGTTTGTAATTTTAGGGTAACTTATATTTTTAATTTGGTAGTTCTTAATTTCATGACATCAGCCTAATTCTAAGCCTTAAGATGTTCAAGATGCAACCTGAAAAACATCAAAAGAAATTTTAACAATAACAAAACAGGACAGAAAGTATAAGTTATTATCCTTGATTTCAGCACTGTTGCTTGCTTTATTCAAGTGAAGTGAGCTCTTGTATTTCACCTTTTCTTTCTTTTCTTTCTAGCATCAGTTCGTGTCCTTAGCCTTCTCTTTGCAGTAACTTACCACTCGGTTTTTATGCTGAACGTTATCTTTGGTTGTGGTAAAGCACCTTGTCGCCTAAAAGATGTCAAAATTACAATGAAAGATCACCCCCTCCTGCCCTTCTCTTTATAGGCATATGTTCTCCCCTTTCTATCAGCAAAATTAATTTCTCTAGCCACCAGATCAAAATCAGTTTGGTGAAGAGGTTTCATGGCATTAATCTGCTCTGGGTATGCTTTATTTTTCCTGACTGTGATCTTAACTTATAGATAGTGAATAATTCCCTGTAAATTTGGTCTTATAGCTTCGTGGCACCATCACCATTACCACTGGCCATTTCACCTAGGTGGCTTTAGAAGACGTCTCATGTCCAGTGACTTTTAGCCATATTCCGTCCACTTCAAGGTGACCATATACATGTATCTATGCACACCTTTCAGCTGTTGTGGAATGGTACATGGTGTATAGCTGTTGTTCTTGGGCACTGGGTTGGTTGGTTTTGTTTTCCTGTATGATGCCTGAAGTACTGTTGTATACCAGAAAGGTGCCTGAGATATTACTGTATACCTGTAAGGTGCCTAAGGTACTGTTATATACCAAAATGGTCCCTGAGGTACTGCTGTATATCTGTAAGGTGTCTAAGGTACCAGGGTATACCAGAATGGTGCCTGAGGTACTGTTGTATACCAGTATGGTGCCTGAGGTACTGTTGTATACTTGTATGGTGCTGTGGTGCCTGAGGTACTATTGTATACCAGAATGGTGTCTGAGGCACTGGGGTATACCAGAATGGTGCCTGAGGTACTGCTGAGTGCCTGTATACTATAGTTGTACAGCAACTGTGGTTTATAGCATAAAACTTTATCAACAAAGGGTGCTGGTTTTGTGCCTATGATACTGCTTTCTTTGTTATATAAAACAAAAATTTGCAAGTACACAGGTGCTCGGTATATGAATACTTGTTACACAAGAATCAGTGCACAAATACTCAGTGCTCAGTACATAATTAGTATGCAGGTGCTCAGTACACGAATACTCAAATACTCAGTACTTAGGTGCTTGGCACATTAATACTCAGTACACAGGTGCTCAATACATGAATACTTGGTACATGGATATTCAATACAAGTATGCTCTAGGTTAAGAGATTGTGGATGCTACCTCAATGCATTGAACAATACATAATTGCCCATTGTAAAAGCTCCCACTTTGACAGTGAAAGGTTTTGAATGTTCTTTTATTTTGTTAAAGATTTAAAACATTAATTTGACATTTATTGAAGAAGAATGTTTTTCTCAAAGCAACTTTCTTTTTCACTGAAAATGTTTTCACTTAAGTGTTTAACTACTTCTAGCTATCAAATAAGAAGTACCCTGTCAAGTATGGTAGGATTTACTGTGGCACGGTTCTACATTCTACACACCCGATCACACAGTCCACTAGACCACCACATATAGTTGACTGTGATCACACAGTCCACTAGACCACCACATATAGTTGACTGTGATCACACAGTCCACTAGACCACCACATATAGTTCACTGTGATCACACAGTCCACTAGACCACCACATATAGTTCACCGTGATCTTTACATGTACCCAACTTTGCCTCTGTCTTTCTGCCTGTTCACTGTCCACCATTGTTTTGTGGTGTCTTGGCATTCTGTAGGTGGCTTTCTGTATGGTTTATTTTGTTCTTCTTTGGTAGGCTTGTATGTTTGAGAACCCATTACATCCCGACTTTGGACAGCTTGGTGTAGCAGGTATACTGTTTTGAATTTTTATTTGTTGTGATTATTGGATGTATAGTACCAAAGCATGTGTTGAACCAATGGAAGTCAAGTTGATAGCTTGGGTAAATTTTTTTTTCAATCCACGTAGGATGGTTACATCAACAATTATTATTTTGCAGAGTATTTGGAAATGCATTTGGAAATTCTCTTGCATATGCTGCCACCAAATAACTTTTGTTGAAAGTTGCTCAAATTTTGACTCAATTTTGATTTTTATCAACAGTATGGACAATTTTATCTTCTCTGTTTGTTTGATTTTTTTTCTGTGGACATATAAAACTGTTGGTTGTGAAAAAAATTCAGTACGGTTAACGCATGGTGATAAGAGATTTATGAGTCTGTAAAGTAAAGATTAGATTATGAAATTATCTGAAAAATGCATTTTAAGTGCATTTTAAGGAAACAATAAAGTGAAGTTTGTGCAAAGAAATTGACCCCATTGCTCTAGAGTATATGACTTACAAAGCCTGACTTAATCAGTCATCTGATTGGCAAAGAAATCCCAGAGTTATTATTGGACTTCCATTGTGTTAGAAAAGCTGCATTGTAGTTATTTCTTGTTGCATCCACACACAATATTGAGTATGTATTTGAAGACTGGACTGATTTAGACTTCAGTCTCACTGACATCACCAAACAGCCAGATTACTTGTACTGGGGAACTCTGAATGATTCTTTGGATGTCACGGTTTATTCAAACCATGTTTATTCGAAACATTTCATTACCATGGTAAAAATTGAAAAAATACATTAAAGGAATTCATTGTTGCAAAAGAAACAGAAAAAAAGACTAAGTTAAATGAGAAATAATATTAAACAAAATTATATATGATTAAATTACAAAGTCTGTAAAATTATATGGTTTCTCATGGTAATATAACGAGCATTATTATAATTATTGTTAGACTAAATAAATAACTAAATATAAGCAACAATAAATGAAAAATATGGACTTTATTTTAGATGGAAAAAAATATAAGTGGACTGATAACAGTACTCCGTTCAAAGCAAACCCACTTAACTAAGGGAGTGTTCCCATAAACCCATTGTATTAGCTGGTTCGATCTAACTCTGCAGGGATTCTCAATAAATTGCACTCAGTATAAGCGGCTTAAATGTCTGACATACCTACTAAAGCTGCAAAGGGGTAATTAACAATATCTAATGAATTTAATGCCACTGAATCAGATCATTGATACTTGAGCATGGGAAATAATTATCTTTCAAACGTCATATATAACAAAAGAAAATATTACAAAATTAGAAGAAATGTGGCTTGCCATAAGACTTCATATCCTGCCCCTGAAGACTTCTTGTCGGCCAGTTTTGTCAGGTAATCTGGTTGTCCCGTGATGTCAGTTGCACTGTGATGGGTCGAAGTCCGGGTTTTAAACACTGCTTTGGGTGTGTTGCTGTTTTATTTCATGAATTCTTCACAAAGACGGAGCACATTTACACCTTTGTTGACACCTTGGAGCTTGTAGTAGTAGAAAGGAACTGCTTTACTTTAAACACTATTTTGTTACTTTTGTTATGTATGTAATATATCAAAAATGTTTTTTGCTGTTTTAGTTTTATGAGAAAAAGTATTAAGTTTAAACATGCTTTTAGCTTGATCATTTCTTTTTAGGTCCATGTTTTTTTAATACAGACATTAAATTATTTTCAAAACATGAAATTGATAGTGCATGATAGTGCATTTACAAGATTTATTTTATTATTATTCTCATTATCAGTGTTTCCAAAAGTATTAATTTTCATTGATATTTTCTATTTTTTATTTTATTTATTTATTTATTTATTTATTTATTTATTGTTAAATTTGATTTGATTAAATTTTTTTCTTTGACAGTTGAAAACCCTTCTAAAAGCAATTATGAACAAAAAGACCTTCCTATCTGGTGTATATATTTTCATAAAATGTATAAGCAAAACCTTGCTTATTTAACTGCCAATGTATTATTAGGTAGAGATAACACAAAAGCACCGTACTTGACAGTAGCCTCACATTTGAATGCTTGACTGCATGCCTTTGTGCATGTGTTTATGTGTTTATTTGGATTTTAATGCAAGGAGAGGGAAAAAAAAATAGCCATAATTTGATGGTATGGCACCATTTCCTTTCTTTGTGCTTTTTTTAATTCAGTTTTCACATTTCAGACTTTTTTCATGCCTAAGTATGACTTGTTTGACATTTTCCAGGCTTCTTTCATTTCATGGCATATGAGCATTGAGTTTTTGTTTGATGATTACAAAAGGGAAACTTATAATAGCTCCCATAAATAATAGTGATCAGATTTTATTATTATTATTATTATTATTATTATTATTATGTTCTCAGTTTTTATTCAGCTGTAGATTTGCATGCTACATGTTATCACCAGAGAATGCAACCTCTTTCCTAGTCCTAATCTGAAAGAATGTTACATTCTAGGGCATGAAATATAATCAGATATTGTGTATACGTGAACTTGGAATTACAGATTTATTTAACACATCATTTTTGCTAATTATGTGCTTGCTTAAATTATACATAAAGATATGTATCTTTTTCAATCATTTGAATCATTTGGAAGATGCACAATAAGAAGTTTTTATAAAGTAATTTTAACTACAGCTCTATTTGTAGCTGTTATATTTTAGGTTCTGACAGTGACAGTACCTCAGAGAAAGTTGCTCGCAAATTGTCATGGAAGACCAGAAGATCGTCTACTCACAAAATGGCCTCCACTCCTCCCGACAGCCCCAATACCAAGACCAAGAGATGAGAATTTTTTGCCTTATAGATGGAGCCACTGTCACCAGTCAAAGTCCATCTTGGCCCATTCTGCAGGCTGTGGTCTTGTGGATTTCTCTTGTCTTGTGCTCCCATGTCACATGGTCTGGACTCTGGCAGCAAGTTCTGCGCACAGCGTTTACACAATCTACAAGTATTAACTGAATTTGCCTCTCAATGTAAATACTGTGAAACAACTCTAAAACAAAGGTTGTGTTCACAATTAGACTAATTTGACCACAAATTATCTGATTGACTTCAGTGAGCATAAGTTGTGCTATATTCTAAGTTTGGCAGAATGTGAAAATAGCACAGGTGGATTGGGGGGGGATGTCAAATCCAAGAGCAGGTCCAAGGGGAGACAATAATCAATATTTAAAATGCTACTTAAGAAAACTGTTTTAAACTGGAAACAGCTTGAAGGGAGGAAGGACTGTTAATGTTCATGTATTCAGAGAAATGGGCCATATTCTTAATTAGGGTTTTGCCCATTGACTTTACTCTATGTCCAAATATATAAACTTTTATTTACACTTGGAGTTTTGTAGGGCATGGTTTTTGCAACTATTGTGAGCATCTTTATGTTTATTTTAGATTAATGTTAATTATTTTAGATATTTAACTATCTAATTGTTACTATCAATTTTAAACATTGATGGAAAATATGAACTTCAGAAGTGTGTCACGCCACCTATGATTATTTATTTGCAGTGAAACAGAATATTTTTGTATAATTCTCTCCCTCTCTCTTCGTCAAAAGAAGCACCACGAAATGGCAATTTATGTAAATTATGCTTGTGCAATCCTTGAGACTTTTAGATATACATTTGATTGTAATCCTGTTAACATTTGAACCAGACAATGAGGTAAACTATACTTGCACAGATATAAGTCTCTCTTGGGTTTTGTGTCCTTGGGCACATTTTATAATGATGTTGATGTCTTTTGTGATGAGACTTGAGGCACAAGATGCCAACTTTAATGTAATGCATGCTTCCCTGTTTTACACTACCTTCTACTCTGACATGTATTGCATCTGAGTTGCAGGTCCTATCTGACTAATTATTATTATTATATTGCATTATTGTTGGAAGTCCTATCTGACTAATTATTGGTGAAAATTACCCAGGATATGTTGTCCATGTAAAAGGAGGACCCGATATTGTCCTGTAACTTAAATGTGTGTTATGATAAAATTTAAATTGTTGAGTTTTACTATGATATAAAGGAGTTTATAAATTATATGTATATGTTATGAATGTGAATACGAATTTAATTTCACTTTACTAATTTACTAATATGAAATTAGCAGGGAGATTTTTTTTCACTTACAGTAATATATTTTTATAATTTAAACCAAGAATCATATCAATTTATTTGGTTTCTTCTAACTAGATGTACTTTTTGTAATTGTGGCCATTCTTCTAGATATACGTAGATGCCAGTACCTCTCGTATTTCATCTGTGCTTCAAGCACTTGGAATTTGGCTTCAGTAAGTGTCTATGTTATCAATGGGAATAAACTATGTTGTGTATTATTGTTGGGGTTTTGATCATTTGAAATATGGGTAAATTAATTTGAAAGCACTCGGGCTTCAGTTTATCGTGGATGTTTTTAATAACGTTTTGCAAGCACCTCTGACTACTTTCTCTACGTCTATCTTTCTACCAAGGGTGATGACGTCATTTTTATGCAAAAATGTTCAAAATAGAGAAAAAAAAAATGTCCAGAAAAGTGGTGGAAGTTCAAAGAACTGGCTAGAGAGTAATCAAACTGGCCCTAAGGTACGAGACCTAATAGGTGCATGACGACTACGACTTCATTCTGAAAAGCTCGCGTGGCGTCGTGAAACCGACGACACACAGTTCCTTTGTTTTAGGTCGTGGAAACCGACTAAATTCTGATAAATTCACTTCGAATACAATATATTTATTGTAGGGATACCGATTTTACTCGCTATTTAAAGACATACGATGCGCGTTACTTCCAAAGCTGTAATTAATTCTCGGCTGTGCTCGGTGGAGATTCTGATACCTTGACGCATGCGCAGTAGGAAGTTAGAAAGTTAATGGCGATCGCGGTTGCTTTGAAAAATGTGATTGTCGATTTTGTGCAACAACAAGACGAAGAACATGAAGAAGCTATACACACGACAGATACGAGTGCAACCGCCATGATCCGATGGCAAGCGATGCGGCAACGGAGGATGAGATTTTATAGAATGCGAGCACAGCCGAGAATTAATTACAGCTTTGTATAAGTAGGCCTAACTGGCTCGCGCTGCCAGTAATTACGCCGCGGGATATTCAGGGCACAGACCGTGATCATAAGATACCGCGAATAGAAAATAGATTTTTAGAAAGTAGACTTTCCATGTGAACGAAGCCTTATTGTAGGGATACTGATTTTTACTCGCTATTTAAAGACGTACGAAGCGCGTTGGGTCTAATACCAGCAAAGAAAATCTTGGAAATTTCAGCAATTTTTCCTCTATCACCAGCCGCTGATAAAATTAAGATATATTTAGCAGTTTTTAAATTCCATTCAAACCGTCAGTCTAATTCACCAGTCTCTTCCTATTACAAGAGGTAACTCAAAGACGGGTTCGTGGATAGAAATTTTCTGTTAAATATTATGGATATTGTGTACTTTGGCGATAAAAAAGTGTTCTCTTTTTTCTCACATTCTGTAAACATACCTGACATTCTGTAAACATACCTTTTATCTCTAAAGTGCTACACCAACGTGACACCAATATGAGTAAAGCAATCGAATTTTTCATACTGCAACCATTTCAATTGAAACTGGATATTGTTCACGAACTTTGGCTTATTTTAACTTAACCCCAACGCTAACACTGTGCGTATGGACAATCCTGCGCCCACAGTGACCCCCCCCCCCTCCCCCTTCACTCAACAAATATCAAGACTCCGGTGTTCTGGTTCTGGTAATGTGCTGAAAATCACCGTTCTGTCGCAATTGTATGTCATCTCTATTGCAATCCATTTTTTACTCTAACGCAATTGTATCAAAAGAAAGCGTTGTGACATCTATTGGTGATTCCGTGTCTTATCCCGTGGTTCCTTACATCTGTCTATATCCTTAATAAAAAGCTGACAGAATTCATCTTCTACCGTAGCAGAAATACCAGAATTCTTTCAATTAAAAGGGGAACCATGGCGAAATTTTACCCTAATATTTTTATCTAGCACTGAACAAAACGCGCACGTGGTGGAAGCTGACTTCGCATTCATTTTTGTTTATCTATCAATTTAATCAGTCATTCATTTTGTTAAATCTGTTCGTTTTATGTTATCATCAATATATATCCATTTAGTTACTTGTTTATTTTTTTGGATGACTTTAGATGTAGGACTACAGGGGCGTAACTAGACCTTTTAAAATTGTACGCACAGATTTTGAAAATTCCCAGGATTATATTCCGTGAAAAATACACTGAATTTATGGAGAATAATATCATGGTTGGCTCAAAAATTGTACGCACAGTGCATCCGTGCGTATGCCTGGTTACGCCCCTGGACTACATGTGCACAGTGACTCCTGTTTAGAACCAAACAATTACATAATATATTGTAAATGTAAAAAAAATCTGACTTAAGGCTAGGATTACATTTGTTCATACTTAAAGCCAGATGCCAGTTTTTCTTACCTGGAAGTTTTACACGCATTTTCGACTATCAGTTCCGTTAATTTTTATATTTTATCCTAATGTACATTTATTTGAGTATTCATGCTGAGATGTTTATATCTTTTCAACAATTGAATGACATAACGCTCATTTAAATATACTCTTACAAAATTGCCGCGCACCTGATAACAGCCCTCCACGTGACCGCAAGGTAGGCTGAGCCATATTACATGGGTCACCATTTATTTTCCGCTGTTGCTAAAGAAGGCGAGTGTCTTGTGTTGTGTGTCAACCCCAGAGCTTTTCAGCTTATGCCCCGGTGACACGACTCTCTCCGTCATTCAATTGGTCAGCCTGACATCTATTCATAATACCCACTTCTGATGTTACAGAGAATTTTTTTTCACTCTATGTTTGCGGGTATTTTTTTTATATATATTTTTGCACTTTTCCATACTGTGAAAACACAAACACACACATCAAACTCATAACTCGTTTAGTTGAAATTTAGTGTACATAAAAAATCTGATGCCGCGCATCATCCAAAACAATGCAAGTTAACGAATTCTTATCATAATAATAATGAAAAAATACTTCTGTATGTGTCATTACCTCAATTATAAAGTAAATCTGTTGTGTGTATTTGGTTTGTGTCTGTATATTTTAACATTATATGCATTGGTATGCAGTTGAAAGATAAATATTCATTCAACAAGTATTCCCAATTCAGCATTTCTTCGCTGTAGTCTTGTACGACTGATCCTTTTAATCCACAGCCATATGAAAAGCATCAAAGACACCACTTATATGATAGTATAATTACTGTCACCACGTCACTCTGATGGGAGCAGGCGTCATATGCGGGTGAAAGTCGATATGCAAGAGAGACTAACTCACGTATACATTACCGTGAAAGCAACTCATCATACGGGCTATTAGAGCAAACGCACGTCAACAAATCGCGCACACAAATATTATCTCGTGACGGTTTTTTTGTCAATAACTTGTAGTAAATTAGTGAATTTTACCTGGTTGTATTTAAAGATAAATAAATATTCACAATATCATATGCAATATACATGTCGTGTTTCTTGACAAACAAATTGTTTTTTTCCATTGAAGAATTTACTCTTTATGATACATTTTCTTATGAAGGTTAAGGCAGAGTCATCTGGGCCATTTTCGATGACCCCCCCCCCCCCCCCACCACCACCAGACTACGAATAATTGCATTTGTCTCGGTCATATCACATAAAATAAACAACTACAGCGCACAAACCTCAGTGATAAAATAGTTTATTTCATTTTATTTGCCTCATTTCTGGCGAGTACAATCATGTCGCTTATAAAAGCAAATCAATCTGCTAATCTACAAGTTGGTTCTACTATGGAGTCTACCGTGTCAGATCATTTCAAATTCAATAGCTGCTGCTACCCTTTGTATTACAAACTATTAGGATTTTATCAATTAAATAATACCATACAGCTTAGCGCCGGTGGGTAGGTGGTAAAATCCTATTTACCTTCATATAAAAAGTGTAAAGCTGGATAATAAGTGTCTAGGTAATAAAACTCTGAAGCATTTGGGGTCACAAGAAATCACCGTATATACCATACATATGTGATATTATTAACTTTTAATCTTGAAATACAAATAATCCTAATATTGTGTCTTGAGATGCCTTTCAAACCAGCTCACCGACAGTATTATCACGAAATGCATTTAGATAGGCACTTTGAATAATTTCCCCGTTTCAAGATAAAAAATGCATACAAACAGTAATTTGCAATCTTATAGATATTAATTATTAATAGATCTATCAAAACCAGACTACTATCATCTCTATAACACCATTGTTTTCAGAGTGCTTCGCCCGCATTTTAGTTACACAAAGGCAGCTTGAAACCGTGGCCTTTGTTCTGTAAAAACCTCTCCATGCTTCGCGCCCAGAGCATAAGGCACTTGCGAGACAAATCCTCCTAGCAGTTGCATATTTTCCTGAAAGTCATTATTAATAAAAACACTAGGCCAAGTTGAATAACTATCCCCCTGATGTATATTCAGGTAGAAACCCGTGCATGAAAATAAAAACACCTTTACTTGAATGAACTAAATAAATAAACCAAAGCTGGCGGAGTCTTTCATACAGCAATTTTGTTAAATTATCACGGTCGTCAGTATTCATTCAAACTGGCTCTCTCATGGTTTACCTTTGTTAGGAATATTTCTCGGATAACAACCTTTCACTGATCTAAAGACAATGAGCCCGATTCACTGGTAATATAACGTTGTTAAGTTATTGTGACGGGCACATCACTTCCCTGATCAAAATTCACATTCACTACAATATATCGGCAGGTGCGCCTTGCTCTTAATTATCAAATTTTCTTTGATTCTTTGTCCAAAATAACACGCTAGTATATGTTCAACATATTGCAGCGTACAGCTGTCTCGTACTCTAGTTTCAGATATCAATATAATGCAAAGAAACCTGTAACCGATCTAATAGCGACAGTCAATAAAGCATTTAGTGCCTTTATCTGATGCTTTGCTGGATAAATTAGGAACATAAATTAGATTTAAAAAATATATATTGTAAAATTGAGGAGACTCTGGCCTTCGACGATTTGTCGTCATCTGAGAAAAGTGGCTAATAGTGTTTATGTTGACAAATCATATAACTACAATATAATCACTTAACCTTGATTCTAACACTTTATCCTACTCCCGATGTGCTGACAACATGAAAGAAGCCACACAAAAAATTTAGGCTCAAGAATCGTCGGTCTTACAGTAAAATGTAGGTGTAAAACTATTGAAGTTTTCTGAAAAATAGGATTTTTACATAACGATAAATTAAAGAAAAACTACATGTATCATAAAATATCCATACTACAAAAAATGGAATGTTGGGTTTTGAACAAACGGGACTGCTCACATATAATATGCGTTTCATTTTTTTACATCAAAAGATGGTTGGATACGTAAAAGATAAATAAATATCTACTATGCTTTTGAGCTCATTAAGGGCTAAATGTTTTGACGACCATTGTTTATTGATAAATCAGAAGTTTTGTTCTTGTTCACTTCGCCCGTAGTATCAGTGACAATTTATGTTACTTACGAAATATTTGAACCTGATACCGGCGCTTTGTTTTCTTGGTCAATATCTTTATTACAAATCCCTAGTGGCAAAGCTCCCTTTGTTACATTTGGTAAAAATAAACTTCTTTAAAAATAACCTATGACAGAGCGCATTCCATGCGTCCAATAAATATATCAGCGTAACATTTAAATAGAAAAAAGTAAACGTGTAAACGAAACAAAGTGTAAATAACATCAAAACATAACCTATCAACCTAATTTAACCTAAATATATTAAACATAAATACATTTAAAATAAATTATCTCTTTTGTAAAGATATGATTTCATTAAGACTTTGGATTGCACTTAACAATAAACCTGTTGCTTACACTTAAAGTTCAGTTACGGTGCGGACTTTTATTGCACTTACGTTTAAAATTCTTAGCTATCCTAACCCATAAAAACACAAAAATAATAAATAGAAATGAATAGAAATTGACTTCACTTTGTGATACAAAACCTATACGAACGATATAAACTTTTCCTATTGTATTATATACTTACTTCAATCTTTAATATAGTAAAGATATTTAAGGCACCATCTTATCCTTGATCTTTGCACGCTCTCCCTTTACATATCCCCAGGAGGTGGGTGGGGGTACTTGTTGTGCCTGATCCCTACTGTCTGTTCATTTCGGGGGTGGGTAGATTAAGGAGGATCACCTGTTTCGTATCGGAAGGATGCCGTTTGTTAATATGGCGCGTTAAGGCGGCAGATGTGTAAAAAACACTGGTGCAGTGTTTACACTTGTAAAGAAAGTCGGGCTGAACACAGGGGGTCCCGTTTGGAAGGTGGGATGGCGGAGGGCGGGGTCTGTCGCTGGGGATCACCGAGACCTCGTCGTTATGCTGCAGGAGATGTTTTGCTAGATATTCTTCGCTGGGGAGCACCTGGCCGCAGTACCGGCAGGGGTAGGGCCTCTCTGGTTCCACCCTACGAGGGGCCGGCTCAGAAGACTCCACCTGGTGGGTCTGAAGATGTTTCACCAAGTATGCACGTCGACGGAACTTTTTGTCGCACTTGTCACAGCTGTAGAGAGCCTCCGATTCGGCGGTGGTAGCTGGGGTCCCGAGAGATGGATTGACCCTGTCCTTAACCGCCAGGTTGAGGGGAGTGTCGTGATCGTGGGCCGCCGGTGGAGCTGGGAGTATCTTAGAGGGAGCTGAAACTTTTGTAGAACTGTTGGGTCTGGGTTTGTGCCACCGCCGGTGAGATGCTAGGTTGGCCGGGCAGTTAAACACTTTGTCGCATTCAGGGCACCTGTACTCTATATGGACAATCCTCGAGCACCGATGTTGAGCTAAGCGGAAGGCGTCCTCAAACCACTCTTTACATAACTGGCAAATATAGTCTCCGATTTTGTTTTCGATTTTTGCCAGTTCGTTTTTGGCTTCCTCTGTCACTTCTACAAAGTTTAACGAACCGTCAATGTCTCCCCTTACTACCCTACTGGTTCCTATATCGCCTCCAGTATCTTCATCGTCTGAATCACGGATAAAAGTACCAGACACCGGGGAATTCTTAACCTCTGAGAAATTCAGTCGACGAGCAGCTTTTGACTTTCTGTTTGGCTTTGGCTTCGATATGCTATCGTTGCTGCGTTTTTTGTTGGGACATTGCGGAACCACAGAGTCTGTGACGATATTCTTCCCCGTCGGTGAAGTGACGGAGAGACGGTCGAAAGAAGAAAAATAAAAAGGTGAGTACGTCGACGCTGTGTTGTGATAGTAACTTAAGTTGGACGGGACGTAGTAGGGCTGGAGGGAGGACAGAGGGCGAAGCTGGGATCCCCTGGGCTCGGGAGGCGTCTCTCTCGTACCGGGGCTTGCGCTGCGGTCTCTGGTCGTCAGTGCCAAGGGACTTGCTGAGAACCCGGAATCCGGAGACTGGGCCGTGTCGTGAGACACGTAATCGTGCTCAGAGCCAGAATCGGAGCGATCTTCTTCTGAGTTTCTCCTCAGCCGACTTGTCTCTAGCTGATGTGCCTGCAGTCCACCGGCACTGCCGCACTGATAGTGCCTCTTCACCAGGAAACCACGAGGCATCCTCTGCTGTCCACGGTGGCACTACTATACAGCCTTCCTGGCTGCCTTCTCCCGGAGTTGTGTGTGAATCCGCACACTCTCTCGCTCACTACAGCGTTCACACCGTGGTCCTGTTGGTGATGATCGATCGATCAAATGGCTGAACACACTGAGACAACGCTGCAGATACGGGTCTATGCAATATTTATAGTGAAAATTACGATGAACATGAATTTCTGTCAACTTGTCTCAGAATGTCAACGATTTCCAGACTTTCTCGGCGGCCTTCCTCCGCGGTTTTTCGCCTTTTCTTTTCCGTAAGTTGGTAGTGAGTCACAGTGGTTCTGGTTTATTATACAGCGCCCGCTGGTGATAATCTTTACCATCAGTGATAGATACTGTACTTTTCAACAGCAGCAAAGTGTGAAACAGAGTGTAGTGCTCTATGCAGCTATCACAGGTGATCCGAAGGCAAAACGACATAGCTACAGTGCTTTTATAGGCAGCGAATGACATAGGACTGCGGCGCAAAGCTTGAGTGACAGTCCACACCTTTGTTATGCTAATCATGGCTCGTGCGCATCAGGTGGGGAGATATTCTGGGGTTTCAATGAAAACAAACAAATCACAAATTTCATATTTCTGATAAGCCTTTAAATTTCGTTTTATTTTATCCATGATTTACTATTTGGTATTTGTAATATTTCATGCCGTTACTGATTGATTAATTAATTATTTTTATTTATAAATTGCCTGTAGAAATTAATTATCTCAGACATTCATTTGGCAAGAAAAAAAAATCGAAACTGAGTGCCTAAACACTAGAGACCATTGTGCTCTAAAATCTATTCTTTTCTACGGAAGTCAACTTTTGCTAACGCAATTTTTGTTTGGAGAGAACTGAAGTCTCCCTCTTTTCACATCAACACACAAACATACACACGCATCTGCCGTGATCGATACCCCATTCCTCAGAACTGATTGGTCATCAAACATTGTTCTTAAATGATCAATGTGAACAATGAAACTCCAGCTAATTTTACAGACGTTAGCAAAGCTTATCAATATTAGCTCACGCAGTTCAGTTTGGAATGCAAACGGAGCTTGCATTCAGTGGCACGCGAGCCCAATCACAGGCATGTGGCAAAACACAACACGTCGTGTTTGCTGTGTAATCACTCTTAATGCTCACTAGGGTAACAAAGAGAGCGATTTTTGTTGACTTGGTTTAAGCCCGATTGAGCTTAGAGCTAGGATACAATTTGATCGCAAATTTGTGGTGAAGCGTGATTTTTCTCCTTTCTGTGTTATGTCGCATACTGCCTGTATGTAGTGGCAGCTGCGTTGGTTCAATAAAGGAAAATAATTCGCTACCATTCAAGGATGCAGGGATTTGTTAGTACACTTACGTGGACTAGACCGTGATAAGGCCTGAGATATTGGTCATTTGAAGTTTAATCGCCATACAATATAATAAAAGGAGAAAAGTAATATAGGATTAGATGCACCGTTTTTTTAGTGTGTTTGTGTGTGTTCAAACCGCAGTCGCTTGTTTTTATTGCCACCATGATATCAACCCTGCACGTATCAATTCTTTCCTGTCAGATCATTTGAGACTTTCACATAAATTCAATTCGTCTCATGTTACTTTTTTTCCTCGAAAAATACGCGCCACCGTTATGAAAGCAAAATTTCATATCGACGATACTAAACTCTATTTGAATACCTCATAAACAAAAAAGAACTCCTAGATAATGACACTGCTAAAGCATTGTTAAGGCACCATGAATGAACCATTCATATCTGCGCGAATAAAGACCAAAGAGCAATACTACAGAGTCATCCGTCACTGAGAGTAATTATAAAGAAAGAAGCCACCAAATTGTGCCACTCACACACTACTCACAATGAAGGACATAACAATCATTTACTTCACTTGCTACTAGCGATGTTCTCCGCTCGCTGTCAATTGATTAGGCTTCGTATCAGCTAACGATATCGATTTAATATACACCAGGTCGGCTTGAAATTGCAAAACTTTTACACATGAGTTACCGTGTCATAAAATGAGTAATTTATTGTCTTGATTTGATCTGTAATGGTGTTCCGTTTGTGTAAAATAATGCGTCTGCCCCAAGAAGAAAGGCGCTCGAATTGAAAATTGGGCTTTTTCTTTACAAAAAAAATGAAAGGGTATTTATTTAAGGGGAATCCACATTAAATGTTATTAAAGTGTGTATACATGATATAGCAAAAAAATTCCATTCCGCATGTTTTATTTACCTAGACAGCTGATCTCCGTAGAGACGACGACATTCGATTTCGCAGTTTACTACGTTTTTAACAATACAGTAACGGCGAGTGAAATTATAGCGTATTAGGCAATCGCAGTTGACGCTTTATCATAGTGCTCGTTGATTGCAGGGAGCAGAGGAAGCAGGCTTGTTTGTTATGCTAATGAGACTGGCGCGTGCGGTCCAGGTAGACTTAATGCGTCATTTGCATACAGCTGCCCTTGTTAAATACCTTTGTTCTCCGGTCGTTCGCTGATTTAGAGATCGTGCGCACTTCTGGCATTTGATCACACATGCTTAGCTAAGACAACACTCCAGATTATTGATCGAACTGAGATATTAAAAGGGGATAGCTGAACACAAATCTAGCCCGTAGTTGTATTATCATTATCTTCAATGAATTAACTTCACCGGGTATGGTGTTTACATGGATTTTACTCTCTTTCTAACAACGAGGAAATATTCAATAAAAAAATAATGATAACATTCCCTGGCGTCTCATCGACAACTTTACAATCTGGCTATTAATTTAAGGTTTTTGGTGTATTTATTTCTGTGAATGTATTATGAGAACAAATCGATAACGGTGTTGAATAGCAAAGTCTTAATCAAATCAGTCCTAATAGCTGTTCGGAAATGTTCATTTACTCAAATTGAAATTATTTTCGGACACAAATACCAAATTCTGCGAAAGGTGGTGGGAAAATAAATATATAGTGCACTTGAATGGTACAGCGCAAAACGCTCTCGTAATTGCACATTCCATTCAGTCAATGTGTTGCGCTATTTAGTTGGAAAATCTAGAAAGCTTAGTAGAATAGCGACGGACCGCCAGAAGCTTAGTTATTATTAGCCTTACCATACCAGTATGCAGCTATAGGGATTTGAAAAGAGAGAGCTATTCACGAAGTGACTGGCAATATCTATATCCTATATAGTATGATACTTTTTTTTGCCCTCTTTCAGATTGTTTAAATGGATTGTTATTTAGAAAAATAGGGGTTGTTCTGGCGGTTGCTTTTTATTTCATGCAATTTCAGCACTAATGCGTTTATATTTCAAGGTAAACATTCAATATTAATTGATATGCTTTTAACCGTGACTCGTAAGTCTAAAGTCTATCAATTAAATATTTTTGTTTTCGTCGAATCCCATGGGATTGTAATTTTAGTGAAGAATTCAAAATAATTTTCATTGCTCTGTAAATTCCAAACATTTAAAAAAGAATGCATCAACATTAACGGTTAAAAATATTGAGCATCCTGAAAGCCAGTTGCAGTGAGGGAGTACTTATGTTAGACAGAGGATATAGTTACTACCCTCTACCATGCACTAGAGATTTGTATCATGAATTAGCGGGCGTCTCGATAGTGCGAAGGTTCATTGGTCCGAAAAATGGTAACATTTTTTTATCAGTTTTTTAATCAAGGATTCATTGGTCCGAAGGTTCTATAGTGAACATTCGGACCAATGAACCTTCGGACTATTGCTACGGCCCGGAATTAGCTACATCTGTGAATATCTAATGAAAAATCAATTTGTGACCCTGGTTGAGGGTAGATAGTCACCGTCATCGCTCTTTATCTCATGGCTCCACTTTGACAGAAAAAGAGCAGATTTTTTCATGAAGGGCGAGGGTACAAGGATTAAAAAAGCTACTTTACCTGTAATTTCAAATTTCAAATGCTAGACTTTTTTCATGGCGTAGATAGAGAGGAAGAGGAAATGTTCTAGCTTTAAGCCATTGCGCTATCATGTTGTCAAATTGCCACTCTGTTTGAGAGCTTAGATGTTATTATGAATTAGTTGATAACATTTCTAGTGTGTTTCCACGAGGAAAAAGTTTCATTCCCGTGTTCCCATGTGAAAACGAATTCTCTCTTGAGAAAGTTCGCCTCGTGGGAGAGTTAACTTTTACAGGACTTTAAGGGCTACAAATGAGTAAATTGAAAATTTCCTTTCCCGGTCTCTCCTCTGGTAAAGAAATATAACTATATGCAGTTCTACAGAACAACGATTGTTTTGAAATCTTTAAATGTACTAAGGAGTCTTGAATAATCATGTTCTTAGATAACTATAAATTTAGTGTTAATGAAATTGCAGAACAGAAATAATCAAAGAAAAGAACTAGTGCGAAATTCCCACGGTTTGTTACAGCTGATTTCCCGGTGGAATGCTACATGTTTGCTGTGGGAAATGCTTTTCAAGTCGACCCAGTCGCGTGTCTTCTTTGTTTGCGACTTGAGAGAAGTTGACAAACGCCACTCGCCGCCACTCGCCGCCACGCGCCAGCTGTCCATCACCAAAATAGGCCACGCCTCCAACACTGGTCCTCTCTTTTTTGTCGTGTGTCGTGAATGCCACCGCTGTGTCTGTGTCAGATTCTTAACTCTAATCACTGATGTGTATTACCTATGAATGTTTAAAAAATTCAATATGCACTGAAACACATTGAGACACCAGCTCACACAGTTTATTTTATATTTCGTATTAAAAACATATGAACACAAGGGTTGAAATTTATGTTCTCTAAAAATGTTGCTATTTTTCTGTCTTTTGTGCGTAAAGGCAGGTGACGAGTCAACCAGGCCACGTAGCGGCGTGGGAAATATTTCAGATTCGCATGGGAAGTAAAAGTGTAATCAAAATTTAAGATGTCAATGAGAAGTTAATGAAGGGAAATCTAATAGCATGTGAATTTCCAAAAAAACTATGTCCCAGCATCTCTTAACCGCCCACACGTAGTCCAATATTTTGCGTCTCTTTGTTAGAACTAGTATCTCTCTAGTTAACAAGTAGCAAGCTGAATCCGACAATGTAAATTTGGAATGGGTAAAGCTGTTATGTTTGCATTAACATTTGCCCTGTCTCAACACTGTTGGTGACGAGTAAACGGCGCTAAAGAATACAGGAAAAGTTCAATTTATTTGGAGTTTCGCCACTGTATCCCATTTGAACACTACTTCATGAGTGTCCATGAATAACTTTACCTTCATTTTGTTATCACTGTTTAATTGTTTATCACAGTTTATCAGTGACTGCAAAGACAAGTTATTACAATACTAAAAAGACGGCATCATTATTATATCTACACTTCTCATTTATGACTTCCGTTAAAACTTCGTAAATATGGTGCTTTTATTCATTATATTCATTCTCTTTGGTTTTTTTCTTAATTTTTCATTCT